CAAATCATCCAAACCAGTGACATACCACCAGCAGCAAGAAAGCACAGACTACTGTAAAATACATTGCCTGCTGTATAAAGTGGTAATAGTGTTTATTTCTTCCTGTTTTCACATTTTTGCATTCCAATAATCAGTTAGAATGTAAAACAAATTTATCGGCTGTCGATTTGGAGCAAGCGTTTGTTCTACGCTTTAATATCTCTGGAGCTCGTGTATTAACACTCCTCCCACACGCAGAAAAAAAATAAGAAATAAGGGTGGCAGACAATGTGTAGTACTGTACAGTATGTATCACAGTGTTATACAAGTTTAAGATTCTTGTCTGTACTGAGTTTAAATTAAGTTAAACCATTTCAAGACCATTCTAGATATATTATGCTGTTAACCAAGAGTAAAGTACTTGGTATGAGTAGTGTATATTTATCTTTAATTTAAAAATTAATCACATTTACATAGTAGATGCAAATCATTGGCAAATATGTCAAATGCCAATGGAGATACCAGTCATATGTGTGGCAGCAGTAATGCCAGTCAGCCACACTGATTAAACCACAAGAATCGTTGTGAAGTAGCAGGACCGGAGGCAAGCAGGGCTTTAATTACCTAGAGACCACCACGCTTTCCTGCAGCAGATTAGAAAATACACCCATCTTAGGTGGCAGGGAAAGGGGAGGTAAAGTAGATTCTATGGATAGGCACTGAATCAACTACTGGGTTTATACTAGTGATCACTAGTGGTTTATAATGATCTCAGCAGAAGAACTTAGACAGAGGACACCATTCCAAAAATGGTATAATAAAAGCACAGTGGATGCCCGTAAGGAAAAAGGAAAGTGCATTGAAAGAAGTAGCCATTGATGGGGTATATATAATTGCCAAGCATCTATCTTCAACTAATAACTGTGCAATAAGTCATTAATTTATTATTAATGGTCTCATACCAGGACACAGTTCCCTTCGTGTACTCTGGCCTGTGAGTGCTTTGTACTGTACGTTAGTCTGCAGCCCCTGTTCTGAAGTTCTCTGTCTCTGGCTGTTCCGTCAGTAACTTGCAAAGCCAGGCTGCCGAAACAACAACAGGACTTGCTATGATGTATACAATAAAAAGATGCTGCCTGAGAAACATTCTTGAAAGTTACTTTGAGTGGCTGCTTTTGTGTTTAGAGAAACATTGTGTGTGTTTGTTGAACAAAGTAGATGTCTACATAATTTTTAATGTCCCTCTCTCCTATCATGCCAAAAGGACAGCCAACTTTCATGAGCAAAAAAAATCACATATCTTGGTCGCTCTTGATGCCTGCCCCAATTTTGTGTTTTCGCAGTTTGGGTTGGAAATCCTACACAGTCTGCTGTTTTAGCCTTTAGGTTTTCTTATGGAAATGGATAGCTGTGAAAATGATTTATGGTTCTGAGTGGGGGGCTTGAGTAATTATAAAACTAATGGGTAAAATAAAAGCCTTTGATTGGTTACACAACAATCAAAGATCAGTATATTTACAGCAGATGCACAGTACGATATGGTCTGCCCTGTGCTTGAAATGGTTCACACTGTGCAAAGAGTTACAATACATCTTGTAAAATTCTAGCTCCACAGTTTTATCATTATCATCCTCATAGCAGTAGGTTCATACCTACCCCTTCCACTGGACACTCCCTTTCCAGTGGGTTTATAGGGTGTCATTAAATCCACAATCTGAAAAGACCTGGGATAACCGAATTGTTATCAGTTAAACAACTGACTTGTTCAATTCAGTTATCTAGAAAGCTTTTGAAAGAAAAAGCTGAATGCTGTTCAGTTCCTAAAGTACAGGAGTTCCCTTTGGGGGAACAAATTATGAGCTTAACAGATCACTTCCACATGTGGATAATCATTACAGGTGAATTCCAATGAATTCAACTGGACTGGAGCTCTCCAGGACCAAGGTTGGAGACCCCTGGGTTATACAGCAGTTATGCATGCATTACAAAAGAGAAAAGATATATTTGTATACAGTTATAGGGTCTGAAATCGCATCAGATAACAGATTTACATTTTGTACAAAAAATACACCGTCTTCAAGCTACTGTAGATGAGAAGACATGAGTTAATGCTGAAAGAAGGTGGTCTGACATTTAAAAGCAACGCTTTCAACAAAAGAACATTTCTATTTAAATCAAGGGACAAAAGGCCCACAGATTATTTGTGAGCATTCTAAGACATACATGTGATAACCAATTAAAATGCGAGCTCTTGATTCATTTGAGTTTAGTAACACAAACGACAGTACTTCTGAGTCATACACCTACCTCTAACCCTTATCCTGGTGATATGTAATATTTATATAATATTTACAACATCATAACATGTTGAATTAACATATCATTAATATACAGACAGTTACAGTATTTAACATGTGAAACAGTAAAAATTGTTCCGGGATTTGACATTGCAGTTTATATTAAATGTGTCAATGTGTCAAAAGAAGGCAATTCTTTTGAGGACTGAAAATTGTGAAATTTGGATTCTAAAGATCCATTTTGAAACCACTTCCAGAGCATTGTGTTTTGTTCTCTGGGTTAAGAATGCTTTTGATTAATAGCCATACTTCAAATTCATTAGCACCCATATAGAAAGATTAGCCTCTGTACTTTTGTACTGTAAGAGCCTTCACTTCAACAGCCTACATAGAAAAACATAGACAAGACATTATGCATAAAACATTAAAAATAATTATTTTAGAAAGCCTTAAAAATGGGCTGACGATTTCCATTTTTACTTTTTATTATTTAACTATTTTAAAATAGTCATGCTACAGCTTTTCAAACACAATTTAATTTACAGAAACAGTATGTGGTATGTATTTCTTTAAGAAGACAGGTAAAACTAATTGACAATGAGTCTGAAAAAACAGGATTGTGGCTAAAACCTTTTGATATGCATGAGTTATTTTAGAAGGTGGAGCTGTAGCGCCCTATTGTATCTTAGCTGTAGCACTGTATATTAGATTGATATTAAAATATCAAAATCAGGAAAGCATTTTAAGGCTCTTTTAATACAGAATATGATGTATTTTGTTTTCTTAAAATACTGAAACTAAGTAGTCGTGTGGACTGTATTACACCCCTACTGTGTGTTAGGAAAACTTTGTCTAATTACAGCAAAACAAACAACACATGTTATTTGTGCCCCTTTTCCATAGCTTGCATATATATGCAGTACACAGGATGTGCATATCTGAATCTGAAAGAAAAGAAAAACTCAATTAGGGCCCTTGCAGAGAAATCGGTCTTTCCAAAATCAACCATTGAATATACAGAAAGAAGGAACCACAGGTACCATCATCAGCAGTTTATCATGGAAAGAAATCAAAATCCAGTTTGCAAAAAAAACTAAAAAAAGTTTCTATGCAAGATATACTGTAAGTCCCTTTTTAAACAATGTTTTATTGTCAGACGAGGCCAAGATAAACCTTTACCAAAGTGAGGGAAAGGCTACAGTATGGAGAAATAAAGGACATGTAGATGCACTGGGCTCCTCCTCATTTGGAAAGCCTAGTGTCGTTCTCTGGAGCTGGCTCACTCATCTGTACTCGTGATGTAACTGATGATTTCTCAAGTTTACGGAAACATTTTGCCTTTTGTAATGGAGGAAAATGTTTAGTGAACTCAAGAGGTTGCAGTCTTCATGTTGTTTCTGCCTCAAAGTCTTACACATGTATACTTTTACTCTCTAAAATGTACGTGAGAGTGAATGTGTCCCCATACTTATGGTCACTTGAAATCATGGATTGAACATAAATTATGTTTTTTTTTTCCTAATATGATCAAATATATACTATGCATACAACTACGCAAAAATGTATAATAGAATGTAATTATTCATATGAATCTTTTGTTAAAATACAAATTGTTTGACTGTAAGGCAAAAATAAGGTTTGACATTGCTGTCCCAATACTTTTTGAAGGCACAGTACTATGAAAACATTTTAATATGCACTGGTTGAGCTATTACCACATACAGCAAATGAAAGCATTCTATAAAGCTTCTGATAAATACATAGTATAACAGTCCTGAAATGTTATCATTTACCACAATTACATGTTGTTGTACTTGAGGTATTTAGTTTAGCCTCTGTAGTGTACAGTGGATAAGCATGCAATACTCATTAAAAAGGTTCAATCGTGACATTTTTTCATGCTTTTTTAGTTTTTACAATTAATTATTATTTTCTACTGCAGGTGCAGTCTCTTGGTGTAGGTATTGTACAATCTGGTAGCCTTGCGTTTTTTTATTGTTGAAACACCAATCCATAGGTCTCTAACCCTGGTCCTGGAGAGCCTGTATACTGTAGCTAGCTTTTAAATAAAAAAAATTTAAAAGCCAACAACTTAACTATGACTTTTTAAAGAGGTGGTGTGTTCAATTAAGTAATTTAGAGATTGTTTGGAACAAAAACACAGTATTTTTCAGCCCTGCAAAATCAGTGATCCCTTCCTTGAAGCATTACTTGCTTAATTGATCAATTGCTCAAACAAGGGTTCCTAATCTTTAAAATCCAAGTGATTCAGGGTGACCTTTAAGAATAACTGGATTGGAAACCCCTGCTCTTAAGTGTTTCATCATTGATTAAGGCTCATTCCACTTTGCAATTTAAAGGTCTAGAACCTTTTTGTTGTATGAAATGAGGATTTTCCTCATTTAGAATCTGTACAGTATGTTCCTCATTATTTGAAAGTCATTTTATAGTGCCTGCTCTTTATTTGGAATACATACAGTTTTCAATTTTATTTCTACATGAGTTAAGATTGCTTTTGGGTCACATACATATGTGCATTTAGAAATTGTGCGTATTTAAGAAATTAAACATCTTTCATCTGACCATAGATGTGGTATGTGATTTGTATACTTGAGAGAGAATAGCATACTAGTGCAAGTAATAGTCATTATTCATATTTTTTTCTTTAAATAATACATTTTTCTGTATTTACTCTATTGTAAAGTCTTTTTTTTCTCAATTCAGTGTTTTCCAGGGTGCCTCACAATACAAATTCGCACCGTTTTGTGTGTGTTCATAGTGATTTTAATATACGCTGTGGCCCAAGGATATGTGGTAAGCACACTTGAATCCTGAGATTAACCTTCTGTACATACAGTATTGCCAGTGATGAGCATCACATTAACGTGAAGAGTTTTTATGTCATTCCCTAGGAAACAAACACACACACATTACATACTTGTAACCTGCTGTTGTTTAATTTTATCTTTGTTCATTACAAACGTTCTTTTTAATTTTGAAATTGGGAAAATCTCAATTTGGAAAAAGCTCGCTCACGTTTCACAAATATATGTTTAACATACAGTAGAAAACAAGAAAGGAGTTCCATATAAGTGCCTGTTCCATATGCAATTGACAATGTTAAAAATTATATTTAGCTCTCCCAAGCCAGGTCAGAAGCAATGACCCCAGGCCAGAGCCAAATTTCTTTATGTCATTATTCATGATGCTGCTTCATGTAATAATGCCATCATTCCCTTTACACGTCCTTTGTTTTTCCTGCCTTCCCAGGTTGGTTGCATGCCGTGGATTTGGAATAACAACTCCAGCAGTTCCATAGTAATCATTGACTCCAATGGAGTGAACAAAACCATGACCGAGCTGCCATGTGACTCGGCTCACTATGCCTTCCTCTCCTGTGTGGCGGGGACTCTGACTCTTGCAATATTCCTGCGCGTTTCCTCGTTGCCAAAAATGATCCTGCTCTTCCTTGTCAGTGTCTTGTACATAGTGATCCTGGAGATCAGCGGGTTTAGGAAGTCCGTGAGGTATGAGACAACTTTTCTTTAAGAAAAATAAGCTTTGCTTTTTGGCTATAGATTGGATTGGGTTGCAGATTTTCTCGAAAGCTTTTGAATCAAGACACCTTCCAGTGGAAAGTTTTTCTATTTTGTTCTTCAAAGGCATATGGAGGAGTTTAGCTACCGTGTGAAACAAAAATAAAAAATCAGTCTTTCTTGTGTGTGATTAATTGCTCGATTGTCACATTTGCTTGATACAGTTTTGGTTAGTGTCATACTGAAGGACTGAAGTTGTTGAACAAAATAGTTCAAAAATGTGTAGCAAAGTTATCACTATTACTTTATGGTCATCTAGTGGTGGCATGGGTTCAAACCCCCATCTTAACACCGTCAAATAAGCCCCTCCTTTCGTAGCTGTTCTTATTTTCTTATGAGTTTGTACATAAGATAAGAACTACATTAAAATCCAAATGACGTCCAATATCTGAAGTATTGATAACGGTTTTGATGAGGTTTATACAAGGTTTAGAACGGTAGGATATAGAGGTTTAATAACCAAGCTCTTCTGTAGATCAGTTGCATAGAATCAAAACCCTTGTCCTGAGCATTGGCTAAACTATACTCCTAAAACTAAATCTAAGCCTATCCCTAAGGGTAGTGCACAAGGTACATTTGTTCCATCTGTAATACTTCCTAGGTCTGAAGGGCAACTGGATTAATATTCAGTTATGCAGTGTAATTGTATAGCCTCTTAGCTAGTAGGGCCAGATTATTCATGTTAGTCACGAGCTGTTTTGTGTGGGCAATCACTCCCTCATCCCCAGTGCAGTAACATGAGTTTTGTCTTTGTTTTGTTTTAAGTGGAGGATCATTTTACATCCGTGGATACGAACCTATCCTGGCCATTCTGCTGTTTGTCTGTGCTCTGGTTCTTCATTCCAGACAACTGGACCTTAAATTGCGTCTAGACTACCTCTGGGCTATACAGGTAAGAACATTTTAGTCATGCCAAAACCTCCAAAGTTTACAACAACCGCATGTCATATGACAACAGTTGTATGAAGATCAAAAAACAGATAAATCACCTCATAGGAATGGCACGTGCTTCCCATTTTATAAGGTGAGTTCCACTACTTCTTCTTCCTGTGTCTAAATTCCTACCCAACTTGTCATTCATTGAGCTCTTTCACACTTAAAGAACACTTAAGGACCCAAAAGAAGGAAGTAAAAGAAAGAAGTCAAAACTAGACGGAAGCTCATATAAGTGTATTAAAAAAATATTCAATATTCTTAATTTGCTCATGTTTTCCATCTGCACTTTTCTTGTGCTGTCAGTGTCTTCAGAGATCCATGTCTGTAAATCTCAATATTGACAACTGCAGCACAGTGTAGGTTCGTATGTTCAAGTTAAAAATAGGGCGCTTTGTGCCACTCAAACCTGCACTTCAGTTAGATCTGTGATTTTGTAAGCTAGGAAATTACTTCCTGGTATCAGACAGGGTGTCATCACAGAGTTTGCTGATAATACCGAAGCAGGAAGATTAGCAAACAGAGTAGAAGCCACAGAGAAAAAGAGATTAAAATAGAATTTAAGACTGGGGAAATAAAACTTGGCAGATGAAATTTCAAATAGGCAAATGTAGTCTTACATGCAGGTAGCAAAACCATAGACTACAGATATTAAATTGGAATCACGGAGCTTGAAAAAGCAACCACTGAAAAAAGACATTGGTGTTTATGCAATAAAACATATTATGTAATTCAATATGTTGATGATAATAATGGCATACAAGATAATGTCCGACATTTGATCAGAAGACCTGGATAACTATAATTCCCAATCACAGCACTTTACCTTGCTAGTTTCTTTTGGAGGCATATTACAATGGACTGTATATACTTTCATATACAGTATGTACAGTAAAAACTATACTCAAGTTATTACTGCATATTGAAAAAATTGTAATATAAAGATATAACAGCCCCCTGCCTACATTGTAAGGTGACAAAACATGTTTTTTGTTAAATGAAGCTACATAACATGAAAGTTGTGTCAAGATGAAAACGTCTGTCAGGAGAGCAGGAGAGACAATTCTTAGTGGAAGGTTTTCACATTTCGTTTCAAAGCCTTTTCTTTGAGACATTATTTGCATGATGAAATGAGAATCGAAGTTGCCAGGCCAGTCAGCTCACTAAGAATGTTAGCTCTTTCATGTGGAGCACATGCTCCTTTGGGAAGCTGAGTACTGGATCTCTAATCAAAGAGCTGTAAAGAAATCTCACAAAATGCCACCTTATTTTCTAAACGAGAAGGGTTTTATCCAAATCTATGGAACAACCAAAACTGTGCCAGTGAGCTCGCTACAGTATGTACAGTATGTACCCAACAAAACTAATCATCAAGGTGAAGCAAATTAGAAGACCGTTTTACTGCTACTAGAAAGCGTGGTCTAAGTCTAAGACGGTGTTATGAATCATAATTACACATTCTTCTTGAGGACCACAGCCATGTTAAAACTGAAAAGAAAGGTTTAAAATGTGATTTGAAATAAAACATTTAAATATCCTTTACATCGTTAGCCAATGGAAGCTAAACAGTAAGTAATTAAATCTACCATTTCTCTGAACACATGGGTTAGGGTTTTACTTTGCTTTTCAACCAGAATAGCATTGAACTCTCCGTTCGATCCAATTGGAATTGTGTTAAAAAGCACTCTTCAGATTGAATGCCAGTTCATTTCCTTTTTTCAGGCAGAAGAAGAGAGAGATGACATGGAAAGAGTAAAGCTTGACAACAAGAGAATTTTATTTAACCTCCTCCCTGCACATGTTGCACAGCACTTTCTGATGTCCAATCCGAGAAACATGGTGAGCAGCTTACTAGAAAGGCACTGCGGTGCTGCAGGATATGCAAATCTACACGGTTCTTTATTTTCTCTTAACATTTCAGCAAGCAAAGAACACTTAAAGTAGAACATGTTGAGGTTCGAAGTTCTGCATCAGCTTTTCCATTCTGAATTTTCTTTGCAAATGATCTTGTTTTGAAGTCCCATAAAAGATTTAACGTGACTATGGGGAAAAATAAACTGAAAAGGACTATGGCTTGGTTTGAGATTTCGTTCTCCTACTAATGTATTCTCCCCATTAAAATAGCCCCTAACCTCATTAAAGCGCTGGTCTGTGATGGAAGCTCCACTATTTCTCAGAAAAACTAAATGTTTAATAGGTGAATTGCTGCTACACATTGGCAACACCTATAAAATATTGATGAATCAAGCAAGTAATCTGTTGAATTAAGACAGCTCTAGTCCTTTAAAGATGTAAATTGAAAGATTTTCAAATGATTTCCCAGTTATTTCATTTAATAAATCCCCTGCTTAATTTTTCATAACGATATGGTTCCAAGACTTCGTAAATTGGTGATTCAGATATGACCTACACTGGCTGGATTGAGGCCCAACAGGGTAAAACTGGAGTCACTAGAACAACAGATCTTTAATAAATCTAGCAAATAAAATAACATTAAACCAATACATGATTATTATGCATAGACATAATTGTCACCAATTGGCAAGCAGCACAGTGGGGACATCCAGCTCATGTTTCAGAAGCAGGCAGTACAACTACAATTTTCCAACTCTTGATATTATAAATACAGCAAGTGTGTGGATTCTTCAATAGTACTACAATGGGAAATGCTACAGTACATACTTATTATTGTTTTCTTTTCTTCCCTTTGCTTGTAGGACCTTTACTATCAATCATACTCCCAAGTGGGTGTAATGTTTGCTTCCATCCCCAATTTCAATGATTTCTACATTGAACTGGATGGCAATAATATGGGCGTGGAATGCTTACGGTTATTAAACGAAATTATTGCTGATTTTGATGAGGTATTTTTTTTTTACTTGGTGTGTTATACAGCTGCCTGTGTTTTTCTATCAAAACTAAATACAAATGCTAAATATTCATAATCTAAATGAATATAGTATATTGTCATGCCACAGGGATATAGTTCTTTTAAATAAGCATGGCAGTCTATGAGTCATTTTAATAAGCAGGACAATACTGTATAAACCTATGTACACTGTAGGATTTTTAATCCCTGTTTAAGGCTGTGTGACATTCCTGCAAGTTTCTTTCATCAGATTTACTGTTGAACTTGCTCTTCCTTAGCTGATGGATAAAGAATGTTACAAGGACATAGAAAAGATCAAGACAATTGGCAGCACTTACATGGCAGCTGTGGGTCTAGTGCCCACGACTGGAACCAAGGTAAGATGATCATACAAGTGATGGGTTCAAAAAAAACCTTTACAGCTTCGAGCTACTGTATGTTCGATCTTTCTGTTGACAAATCACTCTAAATTATCTTTGCTGATTAAAGAAGCAGTTACAGCTTTTCCCTCCAAGGTTTTTGTTTCTTTTCAAATTAGTTTTACCGTATACAGTACAGTATAGCATAAGTGTATATTTTTGAGAGAAATGGTAGTTATCTAGTTTAAAGATATAAAAATGTCCTTTCTCAGTACCTATTTAACTCTCTCCAGCTTCACAAACTCCACAATCAGACAGTTTCATTAATACCTTCTTCCAAAGCAAGATGCTAATGTGCCTTTTCCATTTTATTTTATAATCCAGGCCAAAAAGTCTATTTACTCTCACTTAAGCACAGTGGCAGATTTTGCAATAGAAATGTTTGATGTACTTGATGAAATCAACTATCAGTCATACAACGACTTTGTCTTAAGAGTTGGTAAGTTTTTTTTTTCACTTATTAGATTTTTATTACCTGCATCTAATAAACATGATGGTGAGATGAACTGTAACTTACTGTTTATACATCATATTAAGAGAAGGGCATGTGTCTACACACCACCTGTATGTCTCTTCGATAAGACAAGAAGTCCAGAATATACTTATGGGCAGATTCTGCATTTTGTTTCATTGTTGCCCATAACAAATTTAATCAGATATATTTTAAGATATAAATGAACATGGAAAAATCATATTATTGTGTACAAATACAGGTTTATTAAAATTAAAATTGTCTTTGCTTGGAGGGAGTGGTTAACCATTTTATAGATATTTTTTGTTCGACATGAACAAAACAAATCAAAGCCAACAAAATTTCTTTTTTTTGATGCTTTACCATGTGAAAACTGACATGACCCGCATAAGGTAAAGAAACCAAAGAACTTAACTTCCTGTCGAATGTTTTATTTAAAGGTATTAATGTTGGGCCTGTGGTGGCAGGTGTCATCGGAGCAAGAAGGCCCCAGTATGATATCTGGGGCAACACAGTTAATGTAGCTAGCAGAATGGACAGCACTGGAGTCCAAGGGAAAATACAAGTAAGTCAAATTTATCTTGTGAGCAGAAGTAAAACTACGGGAGCATTTTTTTGTATTTTATTGTTTGCTTTCCCCCAAAAAAATCCAACAGGAAATGTTCGTTTCCACCTAAGGACCCATAAAATACAGTCAAATCTCCAGGGTAACAAGGCTTTGACTGCATCAGCAGCACCTCAAGACTCTGCTGTCCCCCCACTGGCATCATGGGAGAGAATCGATACAGTATATACAAATAACATCCAGACAGGCACAAGCCCAGGGATGCCAGAACAGGGAACATAGAGGCTCCCGGCACAGTGCCAGCAATCAGAGCAGCCAGGTCCATTTCTGCCTCTGCCAAAGGCCCAGACTACAGTAAACACACAGTGTGGACGGGGAACATCCCTATCTAGAATAATGAACAAACGGGCAGAGGTGTGCTTTGAAAAATTAACCACTTCTGGGCACTCCCCAATCGTGGGTAAAAAGTAATCACAGCCTTGGACAGGATGTGTACAGGAGACCAGGAAGTTTCAGATCATACTGCCAAGCAGGGCTCACACACTCGAGGAAAGAGATGTCCAGTACAGTAAGTTGTGACAGGGTGTAATATACAAGAGTGTATAAAGACAGAATACACATGTGGATATTAAAGTGGAACTGCAGCACTTTTTTCATATTTCGGGGCTAGGGTTAGAAAAAATCAGCACTGATGAGTGCAATTTATACCGCAATATAAGTAAAGTGTACATAGTAACTTGTAAAACCTCCAATTTACATCACATAATTGACAGAATTTCCAGGTGTGAGCAGCACCATGTTCTACAAATCAGAATGAGGCAACAGAACATCCTGTGACGTGTTGTGGCCTTATAAAATTGTAAAGAAGCAGGCTTGGAAATACATCTCTTTTAATCCAGTAGAACTATTGCATTGATTTCAGGATGGTTTTTCCAGCAGCCATATCACCCTGCAACTCACAACTGGCAGCCCACTGAAGCTCAGGTGTGAACCTGGTCAGTACCTGGATGGGAGACCTCCTGGGAAAAACTAAGGTTGCTGCTGGAAGAGGTGTTAGTGGGGCCAGCAGGCGGTTCTCACCCTGCGGTCCATGTGGGTCCTAATGCCCCAGTATGGTGACGGGGACACTATACTGTAAAAAGGTGCCGTCCTTCGGATGAGACATAAAACAGAGGTCCTGACTCTCTTTGGTCATTAAAAATCCCAGGGCATTTCTCGAAAAAAGTAGGGGTGTAATTTCCCATTGGCCCTACCAATCATGGCCTCCTAATAATCCCCATCTTTGAATTGGCTTCATTACTCTTTTCTCCTCCCCACTGAGAGCTGGTGTGTGGTGAGTGCTCTGGCGCACTATGGCTGCCGTCGTATCATCCAGGGGGGGCTGCACACTGGTGGTGGTGGAGGAGAGTCCCCATTACATGGAAAGCGCTTTGAGTAGAATGTCCAGAAAAGTGCTATATAAGTGTAACCAATTATTATTATAATTATTATTACTTACTTGTTAACGCTGCAAGCAGATCATGTTGGAATATTTCAGCGTAGAAATGTCTGCTGCACAACCTGCACATACAGTACTGTATTCACTTGTACATCACAGTACATTAGTCATTACAGGGACTAGTGAGCAGGAAGGTTCACATCACGTTGTGGGAATTTAATGCAGGTTTGCGACAACATGATGACTTACGGTACTTTCACAAAGTTAATGATGTTGTGCTTAATTTGAAATTTGGAAGTTTTTTCTATAATGTCAATTAATTTATTTTGTTACCAATAACCAGTCTGGTAAATTGGGGCTGCAGTTCCCCTTTAAGGCATTGAAGTCTGCAGTGCATAGCCAGTGTCCCTATTTAAGGTGCTGGGAGTCAGCAGTCCTGGTTGTGTACTGTATAAGCACAGTATACTGTACAAAAACATGAGAGATCAGACCCGCAGCAGTGTGTGGCAGTAAAAGCTAGTGCTGTGTGTAACTGTGTGGAAGCTGGGCCAATTTGTAAATGTAAGTCCACTTCAGTAAGTAAGTAAGTTGTGTGGTGTTTGGTTATGTGAAGTGGCTTAAATCCCCCAAATAAACTCCTTTCCATCACATTAATAAATAAATCAGGGATGCAGAAGATTGAGAGAGATATACAGTACAATATGTAAGTGACAAATGTAGAACAAAATGTTAAAGAGCACTCAGGATTGCTTCAGCAATTTACAGAACACGGCTGTGATTTTCCTTTTTCATTATTCACCTGCTGATGAATCCCTTTCAAGATATCTTCACAGAGTCAGTGCACCAGATTAAAATCCTCACTCTGCCTTTCTCTGTGTTTAAGAACAGTGAGAAGAACTGACAGCAGCATATTTTAACAAGAAACACCTTTCAGGTTCGCGGTGTGTGTTTTATGCAAGAGTACAGAGCTGTGGTTTGTGGGAATGATATACAGCACAGCACTTGACTTTTGATGAATGCTTCTGTAACTTGATTTCTTTTAATATTACATGGCACCTTCTGGACAATGAAGACATACTGTAGTTTAAACGTTAAGTACTGAGTGTATCATGCCAGTCTGCTAAGCTCTTTTGTCCTCAGCGTACAGATTTCTTTTTCAGTCCTAAAATATACAGTATCACAATTTGTTTCTTCCCTCTCCTTATTGATTTTGATGTATCGCACCAAGCATTAAACGAAAATCCCCCTTAAAACAACAGAGCAGTAGCATTCCTCACAGAAATCCAGGACATGTCTCTTTGCTTTGATTCCAGGTTACAGAAGAGGTGTATCGCATGCTGACGAAGTGTAACTATGAGCTGGTGTGTCGCGGGAAGGTCAGTGTCAAAGGAAAAGGCGAAATGCTCACATATTTCCTGGAGGGGAAGTGCAATGGGAATAGCTCACAGACGAGGTCTACCAGCCTGGAGCACAAGAACTACTCTTTCGGACGAGCAAACATCCAAACTAAGCTGGGAACAAGCTGCCCTTCGGTATCGTCTGTTGCCAGTTTCACAGTGAAGGCAGGACTCGGGGCACTGCAGGCCTCTACAACGCACACAAACCAGACTGTGCATTACCTTCCTTCAGTGCCAGCTGTGAAGGAATTGTGAACCGGAGAGGGATCACTTAGGTGACTGAACTGGATGTCAGCAGAAAGGCGTTCTTGATACAAATTGTAAATTCCAGACATGCCTGAATACTCACCAGAAGGTCTTAGGCAAATGCACAACCAAGGATCCCTGCAATCCAACCAAAGAGAATGTTGGGTTCTTCTACAGAAACAAGCTGGGAAGGTAACAAGGGCTAACAACTTTGTTAGGACTGGTCCTAATTTAAGGTCGGAAAGTGTTTTTATATAAACTTCTCTTACCGAAAAATAAAGACACTTCATCCTTTGTTATTCAAATGATAGGAACCCAAGTTTCCGACTTCAAATAATTTCTTCCAGCCCAGCAAAGCATAAGAGGGTCTCCCCGATGGATAAAAGTTTCACACTTACAGGAAAAGGTATGAAGGAAAAAAATACAGTTTTGTGAAATTAAGAGTTACGTTCCTGCAGAGGGAATCAAGTCTTCCTCTAGCTCTGTTTTGTTTGGCAAAAGCCCTCATGCTTTTTGGTGGGTATACCAAAACCTGAATCTTCTGCAAAAGGGAAGCAGTTGTCAGTGGTGATATATGTTGGAATTAAAAGCCTTGTGACTGAGATATGTGGAGTATGCTTTTGATATTACAGTAATAACTGTATTTATTACAAGGATTTACCAGGCATATTTTTAAACCATTCTTATTGATATTTACATAGGAGTCCTGGCTCAAAATATACAATATTATTGTTCCATAATCATGCTAGGTATTATTGTTTTCTATTTCAAATAATGACAATTTTTAAGTTTGCTTTCCAGTTTTTTTTTTAATTGGGTTGTGCTGTGCTTGGAATCTGATGCTTCACAGTGCAGTCTGGTTAATCGAACATTAGTATCCAATATCAATTGTCACTTAACAGCACAAACATACTTTTTTTATTTTCAAGAATTAAGAAATTGTATATGCTTATGGTCAAAATGCAGATCAATGCAAATTAAGGCCATAACAGTGTCTAATGGTGATCAGTACGGGTTTAGGGAGTTCTGATTTACTGCTGTTGAAACAATTTACTCATCTGAAATTGAAGAATGAAAGGTCTTGATCCTTCACCCTCAGAGTCAGTTCTTCTGAGACCAGGTAGAGATTATGAAGTCCTATTTGCAGGGAAATTAACATATTTCTTTGAAAATATTATGATGCTCAAATGTTCATGTTCAAATGTTCAGATGTTCAACTTACAGTATTTTTAAAACCTTAAGATATCATTACAGGCATTTTCACGCTTAAGGTGTTGATAAAAAGCTTAGAAACTACAGAACTTAAGAGATGGCGATATTGTTTGTTCTTCTTCTCTCTAAGTCCCTTAATCACAGCATCTCTGAACAGACAGTACTCTCTTCTTTGAAAATGTTCTTAAGTCATTGATGTGAAACTCAGTGTGATGGTTGCTTGAAATTAAATCTTTGCGAGGAGAACTGTGCATCTAAGGAAGGTACTGTATGTACCACCTGATAATCCCGCCAACCTGTACCGACTTACAAATCAAATCTGTTGGTAACTTTGAATAGACAATTCTTTTCTCTTTCAAAATGTTACACATAAGTTATAATAATAATAATAATAATAATTGCTTACACTTATATAGCACTTTTCTGGACACTCCACTCAAAGCACTTTACAGGTAATGGGGATCCCTTCCACCACCACCAGTGTGCAGCCCCACCTGGATGATGCGACAGCAGCCATAGTGCGCCAGAACGCTCCCCACACACCAGCTCTCAGTGGGGAGGAGAGCAGAGTGATGAAGCCAATTCATCTAGCATGTGCTGAATCTAAACACAAAACCAATAGATATGAAAGATCATCAGTGCAGAATTTTAGCAAGGCTTTTGGATTATTATTTCCTGTAACACAGAGTGCCATGAAAAATACAATACTGCAGAATCTGTGGGAGCATATATTCTGCAGGGAGCAAGATGAGATGGAAACCAAACTTTTTCATCATTTTCATGTTGATGAAAAATGGATGCACAGCTTGCCTAGAAAAATGACTGCACATTGGGTTGTCAGTATGCTTTTGAGAGTGTATTTGTGAAGTCATGTTCTGTTAATAAGAGATGGTTATGTGTTGAAGAATGCTGAAATATCCATAGGCAAGTTAAAACAATGAGAGTTTGCTTTTACTCAGTTATCCCTTACAGTTTCTCATTTTGTAGTTTGTTGCCTATTTTTCTGCTTATTGTAATGTCATCATAATCTACTGTATTTCATAACCTATCACCTTCAACAAGTAAAATGTCCCAAATGTCACTTTATAAAATTATAATAAATACTATATATTATATACATGCTTATAACCAATTTATAAAATTATATAATTCAGAATTGCGTTATGAAACATAATATGCTGACATTGTTTCGAATTTACCTGCAGGAAGTACTGATACTTTTATTTTTTTTAATGTTTAAGTCCAAATATCTGTGGTAACTATTCTACATTCTGCATTTCAGCCCATAAGTTGCATTTTGTGCAATGCCTGCCATTACATGTAAGCTATTACTTAATTTTAAATTAATAATCAATATAAAAAAGAATGCACAAATTAGCAAAAGAATGAATTAGCTAAATCACTTATTTTTTTAGATAACAAATGTTATACAATACTTTAAAAAATTCAGAAAGCAAACAGATAACGTCAGCTTTCCTGTTTTCTTATGTACAACATATTGTCCAAAAGGTATTTTATTACATAGATACAGTTTGAAAATCTTGAGAACAGGTGTATGCTTCACTCTTACAGTGTGCACTCAGGAACAAATAAATTGTAACCTTCCAGAATAAATGTCTTAATAGAGCAGTTTGATGTCATTTGGGGCTGGATTTGAAATCGTTTGCCCCTGGGTTGTTTTGTATTAATATAATCTCTGACAGAGTCTGATGTTAAGTGTCTCTCATTATGTTTTCTTAATGGGAAGTTGCTTAGCAAAGAATAGTACTGGCTTTTTCAAAGCCTTGACATTATTGTTAATCAAATTATTGTTTTTTGCATTAGTATACATTTTCTTTTTTAAAGTAAGGATTTTGTATTGCAGTGATAAATTCTTGGTTTTCTATTCACGATAAATACACTGGATTGCTATTAAAAAATGCAGTTTCTGGCCAACGCTTTTGAAAGGAATGTCAAATGCAGTTTGTGTGATTGATCTGAGAAGGCGTAATAAGGAACTGTCATCGTGAATGTTTGCTGACCTGAATTACAGTGCTCTGAAGGTGTTAGATTTCTCTCTGGCAGCCCTAGTCTACGGTAAACCTACAACTGTTTCAAAATTTAAAAATAACATTGCAATACCTCCGGATACAGGTACACCTCTTTGAACCAGACGGGGAAGTGATTTACAGAAGTAGTTTCCACGGGGTTCAAAATAGCTTTGAAATGTAAAACAGGTTAACCATTCAAATCATACCTAAGAAATGATTTAAGAAATAATTAGCTTCTGCTCCAAAAATTGTATTTTATTTGCTTTTGAATAGATTTGTGTCATATTGGAGCATGGTATTCTTATACTAATCCACAGTACCTTGTTTTCGATCCGTATTGTGCACAGCGTGTTTGGTGTCAAAGCGAACCTGTGAACACTTTCATACAAAAAAGAAGAGACAGAAGCACTTCAAAGAAGTATAAGGTCCTGACTCCTTGAAACAACACACTCATAACGTGAGGTTGTTTTACAATCCATTAAATAATACAGCAGTGGGCTTTCTAAAAAATAGACAGCCGAATTACTGATTTAAACGTGTGACGTGTCATCCTTTTGACTCTGTTTCAAAGTTGACAGACCTAAGAGACAAACTGTCACCGTTCCTCTGCATGAGCCTTTGCATGTTTGCTGTACCCCGTGACTGCCATCTAGTGGACACAGGAAAAAATGCACATTTGTCTTTGAAGTCAGATGTTTGACATTCCATTCAATATATATAATGGTTTATTGCCTTATTTATTTTTAACTTTGTACAGTGTTTAAAATGTTTGCCTTTTAAATATTCTTAAATGTAATATAGTGAGTTTGTAAATAAGTTGAACCACACATTTTAAATTATACAAATTGTAAAGACCTTTACTCAGTTATATCAGTTTTTCTAATTAACACAAACTTATATAAGTTTATGTGCTTTATAAAGCCCATATGTTTCATTTCTCTTAGAAGTCCAAAGGCCTTCACTTATTGTTAGTTAAATAAAGATTATGAGGATGTGCAAAATAATAATAACTGTTATTAAAACAACAATAATAATGACTATCATCCTCATAATCAATAAATGTATAAAATATTCTAAAATATAATAAGTCAAATGTAATCAATTTAAAGGAAGCTTAGTTACATTTTTAAATATTATAATTTATAATTTTGCTTGTTTGCCTTTGTCCGGCTCAGTAAAGAATTTAGCTCTGTTTTCAGCTGGAACACTAATTCTAGTGAAAGTGAACAATGCACTTGCTGCCAACATGACATTGTTGTACTAGAGAATCGAGGTTAAAATTAATTTTGTTTCAGAATAATTTCTGTTTTTATACAGTAGCAATAAAATGTAAACTGCATATGTGGTAATAGCATTATGTTGGGCTCCCTGAACAAACACTAAATACATACTTTCTCTCAAGAAACTCTGTCTGGGCATGCAACAGTCTTCTCTCACACGTGTGTTTTTGTCCTGGGAAAGCGTGTTAATGATAGCTGTGTTAGTCCATTGCTGTCATTTTTGTATTCTAATTCCTATGTCCTTCCTTAATTCAGTATAATTTCATTGTGGTTGCTGTTTTCTATTTCGAACTCCTGTTTATTGATGGTAAGCAAGTGTTTTTTTATACAGTTTCTATCGGCTCTTCCCTCAAACCTTAATCTAGCGATGGAAAACAAAGTGCCCGCCCTCTCGCTTCCCCTCAAACTGTCTATAGCTTTAGAGCATAAGCTGTTCCTGCTTTGTCTCCAAAGGTGTTTCTGTTTTGGGGTTCTGCATGTCACTGAGTTCCAGCCTTACTCTTTTAATGGATCCTGCAGCTGCAGTGTGTAGCTCTACTGTAGCCACAATTCTGAAAACCTGACTCTTTTGTGTCTATGTGCATGGACTGGTAAATAAACTTTGCTTTAGTTGTAATGCATGATGGCGTCAAATGCCTACTTGAATGTAAACTTGAACTTCACTGGTTTTGTAGGGGTTTTTTATGTTTTCCAGCTCCCTTTTGGCTGGCGCATTGCCAGAGCCTCAGCATGGAGCCGTGTAGTATGAGGCTCACAGGGAGTGAGCAAATGTTCGATTTGAGCTAACCATGAACTTCAATGACGCAATGTGATTAGAAGGATCTCAGTGCTTGCTTTTCTCTGTATTTTTAATTCAGGGCATTACTAAACGCAAGTTTTGTTATTTTAACTTTTAATGTGCCAAGACTGTTTTTTACCAAAATTGCCAAGATGTTCTAAGATAGAAACCTGCTTGTCTGGCTGAATAGTGGTGTTTTTTTTCCAAGTGGTATCTAGTTATTACTACCACACCACTTTTTTTCAATTTAATTTTTTAAATCGGAATTTGAGTGAAGTTTTGTATCACATTCCAGTTTTCATTTTTTGCCTTGCCTAAAGCAGGTGCGCTCTATCATCACAGGCATGGTATTCAAATGGAAAAGGCTGCATTCGTTTTGCTCAGAGAGCACCCTTAAATTAGCACTGGCTGGAAGCTTCAGGGAGGCCCATTGCCCCTGCTTGTTCAAGCTCACAGTCGAAGATGACACAGATGCAGTCCACTTGGTTTTCCCGTGAGGAGTGGCACATTAATAGTTAATCTTGAAAGGCTGCAAAAGGGGAGCTTTGAGTTACATCCTCGATCATATTTCTGTCATTCAAGGCGGGCTATCAATTCAAAGTCATGCTGCACAGTGGTTGCTGAGGTTCCAACTGTTTCTGCTTTTACTAGACAGCTCTCTGTGCACGAACAAAGTATTGGCTGCGCTGTAGTTTCTGTGGGCTGTTTGTTTTCAGGGGCCAAATGAGACACATACAGTATTCTAGCTTTAGCAGCAAAAAACGTAGGCTGAAAGTGTTATATTTTATAAATATTGTGGCCTACTACTTAATTTTTGTAATCATAACTGTACATTTATCTCAGTATACAACCACTGGTAAACATGTAGGCTTTTAATGTGAATTAGATATTTTCATAAATAATACGGGTCGATTTTGTATATATGATATTGTAGAGTATCTTCCAGTCTTTTACAAAAATTGGTAAACTAATATTAACAACTAAATATTTGTCCTATTTTTATGTTAAAAGTGGATTGATTAAAATGTGAAATGTGAATGTACATTTCTTATTGCAACTTTTATACTGAGTGTTTGCACTATTATAATTAATGGAGTATTATGGGAAAATAAAAATTCTGGCTTGAATTTAACTGCTGCTGTGATCACTGAGTTAACGATACAGATAACTGTAATTGAGGACAGTGTTCCCAGCTGCAACAGTTCCAACCTGCTTTTGTTCCTTATGGTAAGTATTGTACCATGCACTGGAGAACTGCTATTGCATGATCCATCTATAGACAAGATGAATCATGTAACTATATTTTAGACCAATAAGTCTGACTTCAGTGTCATGTAACGTTATGAAAACAATATTTTCCATCTACAAATAAAAATATACAGGATCATCCATATGGGCAGTCAACATGGATTCTTAACTTAAAGGCATTGTTTAAATAACTAGCAGACAATATGGTGTATTTAGATTTTCAAAAAGCTTCTGATGAATTTATTCATGAAAGATTAATTTTCAAATGACAGGAAGTAGGCATTCAGAGATATTCTCGTGCTTGGACTGGGAATGTGTTTCTGGATAGAAAACAACAGGGATATGAGCATAATGCTCAGAATGGGGTGGTGTAATGAGTGTGGTACCACAGGGATCTGTACTAGGTCCCACTGCATTTTCTAATTTATATCAATACTCTAGTCTGTAAAATAGTGAAACTCCTAAAATGTCATCCAGATGATGCCCAACTAAGAAATTTAGAACCACTAATGAATGAATAGATTGAATTTAGAACAAGATTCAGATAAAACCTTAGACTAGGCAAAAACTGTACACCTGGCAGATGTTCTTTAAGGGAAAGTGCAGGGTGTTGCATGCAGTTAGCAAAAAACAAACTGTAATACAAAATAGGAAACATTGAGCTTGAGGATGCTTCTTATGAAAAGACTTATGTGTTTATTTTAACATAATTTACCTCCAATAGACAAGGTGGGGAAGAAATAAGAAGAGTCTAGTGACTACAGTGACCTTTGGTAACCATGGGGACAAAACACACACAGTAGCCATCCACCTTCTAAAAGAGGTAAAACCATCTTTTAAACAAACGGCAGAACAAGCCCCTTCCTGTATTGCAAAATTAACAAACACCAGTCATAAAAGTAAAAAAAGACGTAAGGAAACATTCACTGATATGCTTGTCTAGTGGGATGATTGAACTTTAGCAGGATGGGTGTTGGGGAATTAGTCTCCTAAAGGCTCGTATTTATACCCTCAAGTGAATTTTCATGATTGTGCCCGACTGCTGCTCTTTTCCTCTGGGATTCCTATACCAGAGAGTCAGGAGACTCAGTACCCAACTAAAGTAATCATATTCCATTCAAGTAATCATCTACATTAAAAGGCGCTCAAGTGTCTTTACCTGCATCTGGTCATGTAATGCTCTTTATTATTACAAGAGTAATACTTAATCTTTAAAACAGCAGAAACAGGGGGCATGCATGGAGCAAAGTGTTTGTGAGTTTACAGATATTTGTCCGTGAACTCTGTGTTGGTAAAATCCTTTCTGTATACAGTAAATGTGTGCCCATTTTATTTAAAAATGAAGGGCTGCAGGCTTCCACATTGCTAGTTGGTTAAGTGCTGTGTTCTGATTTATCCAGGCAGACGTACAGAAAAACATTAATTTTTCAAGGTGGAAAAGTGTATAATCCAGAGTGGGATTTTTTTTTTTTGTATTTTCCTAACACTTCCAGAGTGCATCAGTGGTAAATGTCTGCATTCTTGTACGGTTCCTGAGCATGTGAATTTGAAGATAGCCCAAAAGAACAACAACGTTCAAAAGGTTACATATAGCACAAGGAAATGAGACCAAAAAACATTTACCATATAAGGTGTCCTGCACAACTGAAGGTTTGCGGAATTTGCAAACCTTGCCAAAAAATGTAACAACCAGGATGTGTTAGTTTCAAAACACAAATGGCAGATCTTGTAAATACTATACCTACAAACTTTGCCTGTTTTTCACATACTTGTTTTCTCATGTTGTTGCATACTATAATACAGGAACCACCTTATCAGACGGTGCAACACAAAAAGCTCTTATCAGCAAGTCTGTATACAATATCTAAACATTCAAAATGTTTCAAGTTGTTCCGCAGGAAGCCAGTGTTTTCAAGTGTCCATTCATGGTATGTGGGTCAAACTGAGTTCCAGTAAGACATTCAAACAGAAGACTTGCTCAACATATCTGTACTGTATTTGTTGACACAACTGAAAAATAAAGCTCTGCAGATTTAGGTAATCTGTCATGTTAATGTTTAACAGCAAGAACAACACAACCAGTACTGACTGCCTTAGGTGCAGTTGCTATAAAGATAGCAGAAGTAAAGCATGGTATCTGGAATATTGGTTATTTGTTTGCACAGAAATACTAGAGTTTGTTCCAAAACACTTTCTAAATGCCTCATTTCTAGGTGTCCTAAAGTTAGACACAGGTCCCTGATTAAGGTATGCAAACGTTTTTACGTTTAAGTAATGGTTCATCCATTAGTGTTTTTTATTTTCCTTATTTTCCCTACAACATGCTGTACATGCCAAGAGTACACCATCTTGCCCTAGAGGAACAGTTTTAGCATCAGCATCAATTTCATCAGTGCAGTCACAAGAGAGACTTTTTTGTGTTGAACTTTTAAGAAAGTTCCCTGCTTGGATTCATGTTTCTGTTTACAGTAAATTATACCATACTGAACTGAAATATACTTATTAGTGCTCCCACTGTGAGACACACAGCATGGAGTTTCGCATTTTTCCTGGTTTGGACACCAGAATTAATCAAACTTCCAAAACCATACCCTTCAAGGTTATTTACAGTATCTTAAGCTTAAGGGTCGTATAACTCAACCTTAGAAGATCTAGAAACAAACATTTTATTTTTTTGAAATAGCTACAGTAGGTGCTCTAAGGCTTATGTACAAACTGTACTAGAGCCATTGAGTCACAGTGTGTCAGTACAAATGAACTACAGTACAGTAGGTGCAGTACGTCTGCTCAGTAGGTGCGCATTATGGTTAAGACCACTTAATCAGGCATTGATTGTGCATAGATGGAGTCTGCCAATAAATGCCAACCCTACTGAAAATTGAAGAACTCCTTGAAATCCAATTAAGCACGTGTAAGAACAGAAGATTACAAAAGAGAGGAACCATTCATCCTGTCTTGCTCATTTGGTGACTAGCAGCCTATTGATCAGAAGATCTTCTCCAGCATTTTTCTTGAAGGACGATGAGGTATCAGGTTCAATAGCATCACTAGAGAATTTGCTCCAGACCTCCACAAAACTTTGTTTAGAGAGGGACGTCCTGATTTTAGTTCTAAATGTGCACCTTTTGTTTTCCACATGTGTCTTCATGCGCCCCTTACATTCCTCATTATTGTCCTAAAACAGACCACTGCTTTGACTGTCAACGTGCTTCAGGATTTTAAACAATTATATAAAATCATAGAATCCTCTGTTTAAGGCTAAAGCAAAGACGTTCCTGTCAAGCTGTCTTAAGGAACGTGTAAGACATCCGTGTGAAGTTAGATGATCCTGTCAGGAAGCTACTGTAGTTTTACAAAAACACTTTAAAAGAACTGCTTGGCATATTTACCTATTTACTCATTACAGTCATCTTCCTTTCCTGCTAATCCCTCTCTATTCCACGAGACTTTCATTTTACCATCTGATTATGTCCCTATTTAAATATTCACACAGGATGTTTTTTTTCCCAGGCCATATGAAATGTTTTTTGCTTCAGAAGCACAACCTAACCTGTTTAACAGCTTCCTGTATCAAATACACCAGTAATCCTAACTCTGACCCTCTGGAACCACTATTTACTAAGCACTAAATCATCAGTGCTAATTGATGTTGTTAATTGGTCTGTTTGCGTGTTTTGAATCTGGTTTAATTGTTTCAACTCTCAGTCCCTAACTTCCACACTGTTTCCAACAACTTCCATACATAGAACTAAGCGGTTTCTCCTCAACTCCTCAGCCCTGTTTTGTGTCTAAACAGCTCTTAATAGGTGTGAGATAAATTCACATCAAGTTTTTTGATGAACATACACAGGTGCAAAGGACAATGTATCATGGTTTTACTTCTTTCAGCTGGGGTAAAGATGGTTACATTTCAGGTTACACACCTGATTGAGGGCAGTTTTAAACCGCAGATACTTGCAGCATTGATAACAATTAATAATCCTATTTAACATTTTAACAGCTGAAGGCAATTCATTTTAAAAACAGATGCTCCACAAAGAAAATCAAAGTCAGCCTGCAAAAATGAAGTTAGCTTAAGGAAAAAAAAAGAGAAACAACTAAATAGACAAGTAGCCACCAAAAGCTAGAAAAGGAATAACTGTAGTAGGAATAATTGTAAGTAAGATGGTAAGTAGATGGTCAGGATGTAAGTAAAAATAGAGAGGACCTCTGCAATTTCACACATAACTGCAATCTGCACACTTTTGCAATTTAAACACAAGTTTTTAATGCTAGATATATCCTCATATAATTATGCAGCTCTCACAGTAAAATATTGTTTGCCTCAGTTTAGAAAACTACGGTTCTATATGGAATGAAAATAAAGCCAATATAAATAAAGTTAAAAACTGTGGGACATTTAAAAATTGCTTCCCATTTCCTTGTGTCCTGCAATTTATCACCCAAGCTAATAAAGATTTCATCTATCAAATTGTAATGGGGTGAAAGGGCTAATTACTTCAATGACTGCAGGTGGAAATGTTTATTAACCTTAATGATGCTCCAGGCATTTGCACTGTTTTCCTCTGAAAAAATATAAGCTATAGTGCAAGACAAAAGTCAGCAAAACCACGAAGAAAATCCTTCTGATTTATTTCAGAGGTAAATACTCAAGTTGGTTACATTCCTAAACATGCTGTTTTTTTGGAGAATAAATAGAACACAACCAGAAGATGAGTATTCCTTTAAAGGAGTGAGATGATAATGTTTTGTTTTTCAAAATGGCCTTGGGATATTTTTGAATGCAGTATGTAAAACAATCTAACACTGCTTCTGAACAAAACAGTGATACTTTGTGAATGTTCTTTGAAAGGTAACAAAGTAGTTTAATGCTGAGTTAATGGGTAAAACTTTAGTTAAAAACTAATAAGGAAAAAACACATTTAAATCCAAAGATTTTCAAACCCTGCCTTATTACAGGGTCATAATGGGCAATAGCTGTCTGCCCTGTTTTTACCCAAACAGTCTAAAGCAGTTAATCAATAATCAATAATATCCAAGCAAAGTTGGTGAATGAAGTGCATTGGGACACTTTGTGACCTGCTTTGTAAAGATCATTTAGGTATAAAACTGTCAGTTGAGCAGTAATATTAAATTATTATTTTCTTAGATTCTCTTGAAGAAATGATACTTTCTTAGCATTAAACCTTCTAGTATGAAACCTAGAAGTTACTGTTATTATTTACAGAATATAATTCTTCAGAATTCTCCAAGACAATCTTTCCAAAGCCTGTGTTCTAGGGTGCAGATCTTTGACTAAGTGATGCTGGGGTTTATGCACGTTTTATAAATGCTCCTTCTGCCCCCCAAAAATTGTACTGAAGGTAAGAATTCATTGTGTTGAATTATTCATATTTTTCCAAACAAACTGCTCTTGCTTGCTTCCGACGCTGCAAGTCATATTGAGTGACTGTTTGTCTTTCATTAAAACTTAAAATTTCACACTTCCTTTTTATTTGTGCTGTGTTGACTGAAACTACCAAGAGCTCCTTCCTTAACAGAAGTGTTGGGGGGGAGGGGGGAGGCTGAAAAATTCACCAAAATCACTCTAGGCACGATGAATACTGGAACAAAAGTTGTGTTTCTTTAGCTCATGGGGGTAAAAGTTTCTAATGAGCTGCACTACAGAGGCAGATGAATCTTATGAAACTATTTCCTCATTAAACATTTGTACTTTGATGTTCAGTGGGAGGTCATACCCACTGTTCATAAAAATTATAGCTCTGAACTGAAAGTCCTTTTAATAATTTCTGGACCTTGTAAAGGTGCCATGTTTATTGTGACTAATAATAACTAGATTACCACAGGTTAATGCTATCAGTGATATGAATACCTTTAGAGATTGAAGACTCTCTTTATCCATTATTGAAGTGCAACATCCTCTGGGGTAATTCTTGGCATTCATTTAAATAAAGCAGGCCAGAAAATGGCAAATATCAAAAAAAGGAGCTGAATGATTCGCTTATTAAAATAGAGGGGAATATTTAGGGAAATCAGACTGAGAAAATCTGAAAAAGACTAATGTGGGTATCTTGATTCATGTCTCTTAGTAAGGTGGATCCTGACACTACGAGCTGCCTGATCTATATTTTCAGGGTCAGATAAAAGACTCAACCTACTGTTCCAACAACACTGCTTCCAGCAGAACAGTATTATTTTATTGGGGTTTCCCATCTAAGAAGGGAGGATTCAGGTGGGAAACTAACTTTTTTTTTAGCTTTTCACATTTGGCTAGTTCAAAATCTGAAATGGGAGCATCAGGGTAAATGCTATAAATCAACTCAGCCTTTCTATGTTTTTTTTTTTCCTGAAGATTGCATGAATTATCTCTTGCAATGGCTGAGCTTGTTTTTACCTTGATTTTAAGTTGCTCACTCCTTGCATTGACAATGGAATACCTGGAGACCATAGTGGAATGTGAGGAACCGCTGGACGAGTCCTTCTTCCTGGTGGTGAAAAGACCTGGGCGGAAATCCTGTTCTGTGGTAAAGCACAGCACTCCTGGAAGGTCTCAGCTGACGGAGTTTACGATAAGCGCACTCGGTGAAAAAGGAGAAAACAGTGAATTCTTAGCAGCGTCGAAATCCAGACCGGATTTCTCGACCTTGGACCCCGCTGTGAATTCGAGGGGGGACACTCTTTCCACCATCCAGACCATTAAGGAGGAGGATGTTTCCATCGACAGCAGAGAGCCCGGGGAGAGCCAGGAGGAGCCCCAGTGCACAGCTGCACCAACATGGGCGGAGGGCGGCTTAGGAAGGCCGCGTGACAGCGACCAAGCGTCGTCAACAGCAGCAGAACCCCCTGGAAAACCGGACGAAGTCTACAACAGAAGTTCAAGCACAGGTTTACATTCAACCACGGTACGAGTAATGACTGTTCATTCTAGAATAATGCTATCCAACACACTTTTTTACAAACCATTATAGGAACATGTGTTGCATTTTTACTGAATATGCGGAGAGTTGTTTTAAATTAAACTTAAACTGTGGTCATACTGTTCAATCCATTGCATTTTTTCAACCACTATTTTAATGCCTTTCCCTGTCGCCAAACAACACAAAATCACAATCTTTTTTCACAGCCTTTCATCTTTATCCTTCAGAATATTTGTTTTTTATTATATAATGTTACATGATATAATATTAAGGCAAATACAGTATAAGTATCCAACGGGGTCATCTGCCTTTTAACAAACCTTTGGTAAAAGTGACTTGCAAAAGTCACTAAAAAATAAAAAATAGAAACCACAAGTCATTTCAGCTTCCATAACTGAATTGTTTAGAAATCAGCAAAACATAGTCAGATTATAAAGGAACAAGTAATAGGTTTATTCCATGCTGAAAAAAAGAAGAAAGAGAACACAACGTTTCGGCCGTGGAGCCTTCTTCAGGTGTGAGAGAGACAGGGCAGTAGGCAAAGGTAAAGTAGCGGGAGAACAAAGGTTGGGAGGGAGGAGGAGTGAGAGGCGGGAGCAGGGGACAGAAAGAGAGGCCAATCAAGAGGTGTGAAATGAAACTTCCAATGAATGGAGAAAATTTAAAAGAACAGTAATCTGTCGTTAAGGAAAGGGAGAATGTGTGATCCTAACTGCAGAATAATTTTAGTTTCGGTGGTCTTTCTGATGTATGAGTTCGGAAAACCGTCTTTGAGAACACAGACGGAGAGATTAGTGTGGTCGTGGCCGTCAGAGGTGAAATGAGAAACAATGGGCTTGGAGAGATCTTTAATTTTCACAGCCCTGACGTGTTCTCTGAAGTGTCCTGTATATATAACTTGGGATAAAATAAATAAAATATTGCAGATTCTGTACCTGGAATAATGCAAAGCTATGCATGTCATCCTATAAACTGAAATGCTAAAACTAGTTTTAAGCTCTAAACATTGTTTCGTAACTTAGAATGTTCTACTGAAACTAGTTTTATTACAATAGATGAGTGTACAGTAGTTACATTTACACCAAATGATCATCAAGTACCTCACATATGGATCCGACAGATTGTACATATATCCTTCAGATGTATTTATATATTGTTAAATCAAAAGGATTTAAGATTTCTATACCGTAAAATCAAAAGCCTGTGATTATGCCTTTTCTCGGTTTTCATATTCTAGAAGGCAAATGGGCTGAAATGGTCCCACACATCAAAGCCTAGTAATAATAAAGCATGCTTGAAAATGCCTTCATTTTTAAACACATTTTAAAGACTACAGTACTTGCAATTTATATTGTCTTTGCCCCTTGTCTATGTGCTGCTTCTTATTATGGGTGGTTTGTGTGCCGATTCACTCATTGAAAGCTCCACTTTACAGTTCTTTCCAGATACTTCCTTTGACAGCCAAAGGTGGTTAAACCTTCAGAGGAGAAAATCCAGAGCCAGAAAATCCCAAAATGAGGCATCGCTAACCCTCGGGGAACTAACCACCTCTTGGCACAGCGAGGTGTCAAGACTGGATACAATCCCATCAAAAGGAAAGAGTGATCAAACCAGCCAAAGAAGGAGAGACAGCAAAACAAAGAAACTGAAACTGAGAGAGGTATGTGCAATAAGCCGAAAGGTTTAGAGGGATGCCTTTGATCAGAATTATTAACACATAAGGAATGTTGATGTCAAGTAACCAACATACTGTATACTGTGCAACAATAAAAAAACGAAATTCAGTTTTTTTTTTAAATGGTAAAATGACTAACTCCATTTTGTATCGTGTGCAATACTGTACATCAACATATTGTAATTCTGTCAGTTCTCCCTAATCGCTCCGAGTAGAGTTCTGTACTGAATAGACTGCAGTGCTCAGTCTCTTCCATACGTTTGTGTCATACTTGCCAAAGTCCATTGGGATAGTCTGAGCAAAACCTTTATTCATTGCTAAAGAGAACCTGGCCTCTCCGCTGTTGAGTCCACCTGAGAAGACTAAATCCAGTCTACAACATGTTGACAGTACAGAAAAGTTAGCCACATCTTCAGCAGGGTGAATCTGTTTCTTTCCATGTTTTTCTTTCTCTGCGATTTGTCTCTGGGCTAGACATTCGACAGGTTAAATCACCTCGTTGCCTTTGCCCAATCAACTCTATCTCTAACGAGGTCATTTAGTGCTTATACAACACACTCAAGTGTCTCGCTCTCCGTTATGAATAATCATCACTACATCACTTTCAAAAACCACTTTCGTCCAGCTTGTAGTCACAGTGGCGTAAAGCCTATAATAGGAATGAATAAGAAAATATTTTTTAATTTAAAAGTGTTTATTACCTAGAAAAGACTAAACTAATATAAAACATTTTGCCAGGATCAATAAATATGATTAAAAGTGTGGTGTAATAGTTTTTATTTGTTTCTTAGTATAAGAATATATATGTATATTATCCTAATGTATTAACTAATAGTCTAAGTATAATTTCTGTCATTTTGTAATTGGTGTATTGTCTTAGCAGTGAGAAGGAATGAAGTCAAATTCTTGTTTGAGAACAATCCCCCACTTCTGCCTCCTGTGCAGCCACCACCCAGACCAATGACCAACGAGCTGTGGCCAATGAGACTGAACTACAACGAATGTGCTCAACACCAGCACAACCATATGTGTAAAGAAATCCACTCTGACAAGGTTTCTCAGTACTGTCGTTATTCTATTCTTATTTCCACAGCAACTGCGTGCTCAAGAATGGGTGATTCTCCAGATGATAGACATTGAGGAAGCAACTAAACACGAACTTACTATCGAGTAAACCGTCATTTTCGCATTCATTGGAATCCATGTGGCATTTAAAAGCGCTTGTACTAGGTGGCCTGTTTTATGGGTCAGTGTGTACTTTCCATGTGGTGTGACGAGTGCCAAAGGACATGCACTCTCCTGTGGATCCAGACATGTGGTCAATCTAATGACAAACAACACTTCCTTGCTGACTGCTATACCTCTCTCTGCCTCGGCAGGGCCCCTTGTTTTTCCAGGTTGGACCCTGACCTTGAGCTACTGTTTTGCTTTGATCTTACACAACTTAATGCTTTATGATGAGTTGGCAGTAATTAGAAAATGGAATGCAAAGAGTGAGCGGGTTTTACGCCCCCCTCTCTCTCTCTCTCTCTCTTGTTTTGTCTCTCCCTACGCAGGGAGTGACCATATTTTTAAAGAAACAGACTTGAAGCCCACAAAATAGAACCGAACAGAACTTAAATGAAGCAAATCTCTGCACCTCTCAGGGCCCGAGGCAGATGAGGATGTGGGAGACCAATGTAACCCAATAGCGCTATAGTAGAGCTCTAGTGGGCGTTTGTTTTATTACCTGTTATATTAACCTGTTGTGCAAAGATGATCTTGAAAATAAAGGTGTACACAATCTCGAGTAATACAGTACGTGCTACATTTTTACAGAGTGCTTTAATTTACTATTAAGGCATAAACAAAATAGAAAGCCCATGTTAGATGTCATGAATATTTTTTAAAAATGTGTATCATGTATTTAAATACTTTCAGATATGCCTGCTGTTAATGTGTGGATTTTAGAGAATCGAATTAGGGAGTTAGATCAGGGAAAGGCAGTAAAAGTACTACGGTCACCTCAATAAGAAACTTTTAAATTATTATAAGTATTCTGACAGAATGATGTGGGTATGATTCTGTCAGCATTATTGTAAACTACTGACTCTGATTTTAGCATGCGATCGGTTTACGATACTTAACTGTCTTGTGTGATTGCGGTTCAGGGTCAGATTACCATCTCAGATGCCAAGCGGCGCACAAGAGCTTCTGGAAAGTAAGAGGCAATACATGTAAAACAGAGAACAGGAGGACTTGCTAAAATGTTAACACCAAGGGTCGTGAGAGTATGTAACAAGCTGCCCAGCCAATGTTTCAAAGTTGGTACCCTGCTTCCTTTCAACAGCTGGATGCAATTCTCAGATGCGCCCAGTCTGATCCAGAGAGAACAGCACCCCTTACTGGTCCATCAACACCACACACATCAGCAGCCTGGTTTTTCAGAGATGTCTCCCATGCCAGGTACAGATTGTGCCCCGTCTTCCTTAGCTGCTGAGCCCTGACCAGTCCAGACTAAGAGGCGATAATAACACAGTGGCCAAATCAATGTTGAAATACATTATGTATACAGCAGGATGTTTTTTTTTTTTCAGGTGGGTACCAGTATTATAACTACAACTAGTAGTTTAACAATTAAAGAAAAGCTGCTGCATTTGGAAGGTTAAGCAGTGAAATCATCCTGGATAACTTTCTACACTGGTGTTTGCTTAAGATAAAAGTATGACTAACAAATACTACACCAGGAAATCAGTAATTAGGAGTCATGCACATTTCCCTCATTCCCCTCCTCCCCCCGGCCCGGCTTGTCCTCCCTCTGGTGGTCAAGGTCAGAGCGTAAAGAACATGCTGTCTCTACCTCACTTCCTTGCGATTCAGCTGTAAAACATATTGCTGTCACTAATTATGTGTGTAATGGACCTTAAAAGTCATTTAAATTCAGAATCAGGGAGGAAATTAACTTCACTTGATGCTCTTCCCTTGATGCTCTTGGAAAAGAAGTGCAAAGTTTTGTTTAAAACGTACAATTTTGTCACTGAACATAAAGACAGAATGTAAAAAAAGCACTTGCTCAAGATGTTAATTCTTTCTATGTGACTATTATTTTAAAAAAAAACACTTCCGTAGGAAATTGTAATGCAACCTATTTGTGATTCTGTAGAATATAAATAATTTGATAAGATTTTATTGTCCCCTGAGGGACATTTTTTATGAACACCCAGCACTCCTGTACATTTAAATAGAATGAAAAAAAAGAATAAAAGAAAAACATTGCACATCACTCTATTGCACATAACAACATGTAACATTTATAACACATCACAAAACATATTGCACTCAAGTGGGTTGTAAGAGTCAAAATTGTGTTTATCCCTGACATTTGTGTTGACAGCTTTAATGGATAGTGGAACACAGGAATGTTTGTATCCGTTTGACTTACATTTGGGAACCCTAAAACATTTGCCTGAAGGAAGAAGTTGAGATTCAGAGTTGAGGATGTGGGAATTATCTGATATACTTTTTACTGCCTGTTTGATTATGGATTTCTCAAAGATTGTCTACAGGGAGGGGTGCTGTTTCATTCCCATGACCTTCAAAGCTGTCTGGATGAGGCAGGTAATTTGCGATTTTAGAATCTGATAAATTATCAAACTTTGTAAATTACAAAATTACTAAATTACCAAATTTGTGCGATTGAGCTTGCAGTTATTTTTAGTATTTTGACAATACGATGATTAATAATAGTGTTGCGGAATCGGATCTACAATATAAACATCCAGTGAAGTTTCAAATGTCATTGGATAATGTGTTCATTTCTTCAGTCAAGTTCTAATAATGATGAAACAAAGTGATAAATATAGCCTGCTTAGTACTTTGGCTTTAACTGACCTAGCTGAGGAAACGAGTGCTGGCTGGAGATCAGTGCTGTCATATCCCACCAAAAGAATCCCCGAACCGAGTTGGTTCGGTTTTGGTTTTTACTGTAACCAAGCGGAACATGCATGTAACAAATGAAGAGCATGTATGATGCAGGCTTGAGCTGGTTTGAACTAGTAGTTTCAGATATGTAGTGCCTGAGAAGGAGCGATGCTGCAGGTGACAAAACGCGAGTCAGCGAATAGGTGGGAGCCAGTTAACAGCTACTGTAGCAGCAGTAGCAGGACCAGCTAACATGGGATTGGAAATCTGTGGCAGAGAGCAGAATTAACTGCAGTGACAGGAAGAGCAGATCGATGAGGAAGCAGGAAGAGGGCTACCAGTCAGCATGCAGCAGCAGCACTGGCTAGTCTGAGATTCTCTGTGGTGGGGAGGGTATGATACCGCAGTGGTCCGGAAGATGAGCTTGATGCGGAGAACAAAAGAGAGGTGCCGCTCGCAGATGTTCAGGTATCAGAACTTTTCTGAGCTGAACCCCGAAAGAGCAGGAATAGCGGTTATCTACGCGGCAGGAAGCTTTTGGGAGGTGGAGGCGTCAAGGGCTGACACCAACCTGTTGGACACCAGGTGAAAAAGGGGAGTAAAGGGGGTCAAATGATGGGGGGGAACCAAGCACTTTAGTTTTCTAGGCCTGAGTTCTAGGGACAGCATGGGGGTGAACAGAACCACTTCCACCCGGAGGGGCGGAGTGTGAGTCAGTGACTCTGTAGTAGGGCTAAGAGCACTGAATTTACACAGTTACAGAAATTACATCACACCCTCGGGTTTTTCTGATACACGGGACGTGGATTTTGGCCACAGCAGAGCATGAAACTGGCTAGGGAGCAGTGTCCACTAGCGACAGTGACCACATACCAGCAAGGGCGGAGTGCAGCATTGCTCCTACCAGGCAATGACACACATGAGGCCTCCATTATTTTGTTGATTCCATTCACAGGTTTCTGTGCAGCACTTTTTAAGGGGTCCTTGTCCCGTCCTCCTTTTCTTGCCTTTCTTACATCATCTGGACTACAGAGAGCCAACAGGATAAAACTGTTGCTCTGCGGAAGCAGACACCATAATTAATGGGAATAAAAATAATTACATACTGTATATACACACCAAGCACAGCTTAAAAACTCCTACGGCCCAGCTACCACATTCTCCGGGTTCACTTACAAGAGGAAAACTCGCAGAACTCTAAAACAATGCACAATGAATGAAAACGCACACCCCATATGACCTACAGGAAGAGGAAGAACATCAAGAATATAATAAAACAGGCAGCTCTCCAACGTTAGAATTCATAAAGGAAAATCCCCTATAGAACAATTCATAATAAAATCCCTCTTTCCTGATTTTTTGTAGCACCTTACTAAATGAGGATTGGGGCATGTAAGTTTCTGAGCACCGAAAAGCAGCTTTGAAGGTGTCTGGATATCAGAGAAACACTCCTTTGGCACAGAGATTTTGATATTTTTCCATCTCATTGCACATGGTTCCTGCTCACAGGTCTTACAATATGATTGTATAAGAACATGAAAATGATAGACCTTTTGTAGCTGTCCTAGTTCTACTCCATTTTAATATTTAGTGAAACGTACAGTTTGTGTCAGGTACAGTGAAGATTCAGTGTGATGTTATAATGAGCAGTCTGAAGTAGTTCAAGTAGGTAGCTGCGTTGGCATGCGTAGGCTGCAAAGGAACAAAGGTTTATTCCCTGCTGAAAGGATACGAAAGAAACACAACGTTTCTGCTGTGGAGCTTTCTTCAGGTGTCCCGGGCAGTCTGTCAAAGATGTTTAAGAGCTCCAAGACCAAATAAAGCAGTTCAAACAGGTGCGAGTAAGCACTGACTAAACATGCATGTGTTCGTTTGGTCTTGAATATAATACTGTCTCTACTTATTTCTATTTCAAAATTGACTTCCACCTAGAAACGCACTCGATGGAATTTGACGTCGACACCGCTTATTTTTCCACAATGAAACATCTAAGAGCGAAGTCATTTCCTTCAGTTGTTTGTTGTTTCTCTGAGAAGAAAAGTACTGTCCGTTCCAAAGTAAATACTAACGCCCCTCATACGTTGCAATCAAACACCCTGTCGACCGGATCTGCGTAAACACATCAGAAGACGATGGAATAGTACGCCTTACCTTAAGAAATAATTAATACAAGCAATGCGTCAAACATTAACATTCCCCGGAGGACAAACTTCTGCATAAATAGCACTGTGCGCGGATGACACTACTTAGTTTCCAAAAGACTTCAGAAGACGCAAGTTGCTCGTTTTATTCGTGCATCGTTTATTGTGATGAGTGGATTATCTCCGAAGTGCTTCTGGGTGGCAGCAGTCGGACTTGGCTTCGTGACCCTGGCTGGGGGCTCGCCCCTGAGCCAGGCGCCTGAGCCCATTCGCTGCGCCCCCTGCACCCCCGAGCGGCAGCTCGCCTGCCCCGCGGTCGCGCCGGACTGCGAGGAGGTGCTCCGGGAGCCGGGCTGCGGGTGCTGCCCGGCCTGCGCCCTGAAGAAGGACGAGCCCTGCGGGGTGTACACGGCCCGCTGCGGCTCGGGCTTGCGGTGTCACCCCCGGGAAGGCGACGCGCGGCCCCTGCACTCTCTGATCACGGGGAGGGCTGTGTGCATGGAGCTCTCCGAAGCGGCACTGATCCAGGCGCCCGAGGCTACAGGTGCGACACTCCAGCAGAGCAGATCTGCCAACAGGCTTCGTCCCGTATTTGACCCTCAATTGGGCAATGCAGTTGTTTTAGGAAAGCAATAACGCTGGGTGCAACATAATGTTGTTATTGGTTGGGTTTTTTCGTTTGTTTGTTTCGCATTGAATCCTGTGCCAAAGTTGGTTTGGTGGTTTGGCGTCTGATATTCGTTTTAGATTGTAATGCGTCTGCCACACAAAAAAAAGCGTGACCTGCCTATTTTGAAGTACAGCAGTAAAGATGTATTATTATTATTGTTATTAATAATAATAATAATAATATTGTTATTATTATTCACAGAGCACAAGGAGTCAGAAAACGGAAAGACTAAGAACACCGCAGCGTCACCGGATCAGGACTCCCTTCCCTATCGCCTGGGCCTGGTCACAAACAGCAAGCCCTTCGACCCCAGGAGCGCCGCAGAAGCCCAGGAGAGCATGAAAGCCAAGGCCAATGTCATCCGGAAGAAAGTGGCAGATCAGGTGATTGATAAGCGCAGAAAGCAATAAAATAGAACCGCCTGTATCACTGACGAATATCCACCAGGTGGAGCCCACGATTCACAACTTGGTTTTTGTTCGGGGTCTTTGTCTCAATTATTCAACCATTCAATTATTTAAGTATCTGACACATCTCACCAGGTCTAGAATGGACTCTGCTAAATTACTGTACCTCGAACTTGGATAACAATATTAAATATTAACAGGTATTTCATTTAAGCCAGGAATTTTATATCAGCTCAGTGAGAGCACAACGTGGAAGAGGCCCAGGGCAGGCAAAGAGTTAGATTTCAATAACCCTGATATAAGGCGCTGAAGTTTCTTGGTTAAGAATTTGTAAGAATTTTGCCCACTCTGTCGAAATTGATTGCATAACAGAAGTGAAAATCTTTCATTTTAAATTAAATTTTGCAATTTCCCTCACAGGATCAATAAAGTATCCATCTACATTAAATTAATTCACTCAAACAGGTTTAAACTCCCTTGCTCTGGTAAATAAGTTTTCAATAAAATAAGATGAGGTTTAACTAATGTAACTTACTTTTTACTAACGTAACATTTGTATTACTTTTACAGTTGATAATGGTGTCTACACTCAAAGCAACATCTGTTTATTGTTTGAATAGAATTGAAAATTCTTATCTCTCATCTTCTGTGTTTTTTTAGGGCCCATGCCAAACTGAACTACAGAGAGCCCTTGAAAAAATTGCAAAAGCCCAGCAAAAGATGGGGGAAAAGTTTACCAAGTTCTACCTCCCTAACTGTGACAGACATGGATTCTATAACGTTAAACAGGTGAGCAGCATCTGTAATACTCAATGCGTAACAGTGAAGAGGCAATGAATTTCCCTCCTGACACTGAAGAAAGGCACTGAGCGGAGAAGTGATCACAATATCGAGAGTGTTGAAGTGAAAATTGCCAACAGTAGTGTTTTTTTTACCATCTCTTCATCCAAGAGAGTGCAGTTCTTGATTTAACTTAAATGGTTTAAGGCTTGGAATAGATTACTAAGATTAGTCATTTTATTTTAAAAAATACAGTGTCTATTCTTTGCCATCTGTTTATCTTCTGTATGAGAATTATTCAGGTAAGATTCTCAGGATACCAGCTGGCTAGTTTTGGCCAAAAGAGATAATGTCCTTATAGACAGCTCTGTCTTTGTGTTTTTTCAACATGACCAAGAAATGGACGAAGGCCAATAAGTCTCATCCAAATGGCTTACAAAAAACAGAACTTGAAAGAGAATCTTTTTTTTTCCATTTTGCAGAAAAACCTAGAGATATGAAGGGCCATTTTCAATTCGGCAAATAAATTCAGATTTTGCCAGTCTCCCGGAATGTGTGCTTTTGAACATGTAATTATTAGTAGTGAAACACATGAACAAGACTTCACTTGCTCTGATCTGGGCAGGCCTAGAGATTGCACTATGAGCTGAGTGGTCTGAATGCAGTGTTTACATTTCAGATGGGATTGCAGTGTTATCTTACACAGCTAGATGGCTCCTAAGCTTTCCGTTCATGTTCTGTATTTTTTTTTTTCATTACAGTGCGAGACATCCCTGGAAAGTCAGATGGGAAAGTGTTGGTGTGTCACCCCTTGGAATGGGAAAAAAATCCCAGGATCAACAGAACTCCCAGGCGATGCTGAATGTCAGCATTACTTGTCCTTGCGTGGACAGGAGCATGCTAGTTAAGGCACACTTGTTATCACTTTATTCTTAAAGTGGTTTATTTATTGTTCTTAATATTATATTTCAGCTCAGGTACACTGACAGTGATTGTAAAGCTGAGTTCCAGAAAATGCAATTCATGGTAACATTTCATAAAAACTGGAATAGAAGAGTTGTATAATGTATAGTACTATTTAAACATATAGCACTATTTATTGTTTTTTGTTGTGCTTGTTAGCATAAGTTTTTTTTTCTTGTTTTTAATGTGTATATAAGCTTAACATTATTTAATCAGTGTAAATAGAAATGCATTGTAAATAACTGGAATCCTCCATCATTACAATTACCTCAACCAAGCTTTTTCAGGGCTTTACATGTTATATTTTGTCTTTTTTAAAGATAATAACAATACCAGGAACTGTTAAAACACGTTAAACTGCCTAAAACTATTCATTCAGTTGTTAACTGTTTCTTTACTTTTGGCAATAAAATGTTTTTTTCTTCATTGTCTATCAAATGTTAGTTATGGTACTTTGGACATTTTAAGAATCTTCTGTAAACAGAAAGAAACACTGCAGAGATGCAATCATTTGTATGATGAATAATGCAGATTATGAAGAACCTAACTCCACAATTTTTTAAATCAAAATGAATAAACTGCCACTGGTGTAACAGTGTGTGTGTTCAATTTGTTAGTTTATCTAGTCTGAAAGAAGACTGGTGGTAAAATGGAATGATTTTCGTATCAGGTATATGAGGTCTAATCTTAGGAAAGCAGCCCTGACCAAATGTTAATGTGTGATGCCAAAGTCATTGAAAGGAAACCTTAGATAACCATGTTGTGGTATGATGCAATCAAACCTTGTGGATAATAATAATAGATATCACCATTCCCTTTTTTCCTCCATTTACAAATGTCTCTAATGTCGAATCTAACTTTTTTTGTTTTATATTTTTAATAGACAAGCACACAATGAAGTGCTGTTGCATAAGACATTCATGGTGATCGATTTCAAACCTAGGATAGATTGTAAAATATTTAAATACCGCTGCTTTGAACTGTTAATAACCCAAGTGAAGTGTATTAGTAAATTGACATATAAATGTAATAATACAGTAATACTTTAAATCTCAAAATCAGAAATGGCCTTCTGACATGAAACTGTTCAACATAATATCATTCACAACACGAATTCTTTTGGATATTTTTAGGCTGTCTGTGTTGCACCATATTAAAAAAAAACAGGAATTTCCTGCCAGGAATCAGGTGCAAAATGGAAACAATAGCAATAGAAATGCCAATCAAGTTTGGCTCGTTACGGATTAACTACATGTTTATCGATTTGCAGTTCCTGTTAATACAAATTCAGATGTGTACACCAGAAATTATTACAACGTTCCCCACACAGTTTTATAGGCCTGAATCTTAAAATCATGTAACAACTTGCAAGAAAAATGTAAAAGCTTTATTTCAATCTAAGAGAGAGCCCAGAGATAGGCTGTTCAAGTTAATTAGGGCCAGAGCTCTGAAAGTTTAAAGGTACTTTTCCAGTCTTTTCCAAACTAACTGATTCCGGCCTAAAAACTGGAGATTTGACTTTGTATTTACGTACGTTTAGTTAAGTAGTTCACTTAGTTATTTTAGGTCAGAGGTGAGATAAAAAGCTTATTTCCGTAGTTCGATAGTCTGATATTATATTTGTAATAATCTTCTTGAAAACATTTACATAGTCACGGATGTCAGAAAGGCACAGAAGAGCGAAAAAAAGACCCTATGCGTAGCGGCGAGACGGGGGTTAGCCAGGGCTCAGGAGTTCAGACGATGTCGGGTAGAAACCTATGCCCTCAGGCCACGGAGGAGACGACCTGGTGCTAAGCGGGTTTCAAGACATCCGAACCCTCAATGCTGAGCCAGAAGTAAAGGGTGAGCCGGAAATATACACAAGGACAAACCAGAAGGACAAGCAAAGCACAGGGAGACTAGGGACAGGACAGAGTAGGAGCACCCTCTAGCTGTAGAGGGCGTGATAGTACCACCTCCTTCACGGGAAGCTCCTGACACCCAAAAAACAAACGAGCTGCACAGCGCTGGGGGAGGAAAAACCTAATTTAACTGAAAGGAAACCTCCGGGGTAAAAACCTTTATTGAGTAGAGGAGGGGGGGCCCGGGTGACAAAAACCACGTACAAAGGCACACACAACAAAAATAAACCTGGGAGACGAGGGCAACAAACCACATGAGAAAGACTCACAGCATATAGGAACCAAGAGTCCAGGGAAACAGGGTTCAGGGAACATGGACACCAGGAAGTGAGAAAACCAAAGTAAGTAAGTAAAAAAGAGTAAAAAAAAAAAGTAAAAACAAAAAATCTGGGAACAAAAAATAGAAAAACATCACACACAGGGCAAAAAATAAGTTCAACATTCTGTCACGGATGCCGGGAGTGACTTCCTGTGGAAAGCCAGGTATTCGTAAGCAGATGTCGTGAAGGCATATCCCTGAATGACCCGCTCACAGGCACAGAAGTCGGAAGTGACATCCCGCGATTAGAATAGGAGAACTGAAAAACAAAAATGCTGCTCGCGGGGTCAAAGTACGGCTCAGCATTCTCTCACGGATATCAGAAAGGGCAGGCCGAGGAATGGCCAGGAGAGCAAAAAAAGACCCTATGCATAGTAGAAAAATGGGGGTTAGCGCAGGCTCAGGAGGTCAGATGATGTCAGGTAGAAACCTGTGCCCTCAGGCCGCGGAGGAGACGACCTGGTGCTAGACGGGTCTCAAGACATCTGAACCCTCAATGCTGAGCGAGGAGCAAAGGGTGACCCGGAAATATATAGCCCCAAACAAAGACACACCGGAAAGACAAGCAAAGCACAGGGAGACTAGGAACAGGACAGAGTAGGAGCGCCCTCTAGCTGTAGAGGGTGTGACACATACAGTATACTGTAAACATCCTTATATACGGTATATATTTCTCCATTGATTCTTAAACTGCCCATTCACTTCCCTTGCAAAATGCCTGCAAACACACAAAATGATGCCCTGAAGTGCCCTCTGTTGACATCAGTTCTTCAGTTTCATTCTTCCCCTGTAGCAGTCTTGTTTCTTCTTCCCAGCATGCTCCAGTGGACATGCATCAAGCTGCAGGTCAAACCAAAAGATGTGCAAAAAAATACAGCAGGAGAAAGGTACTGATTTTAAGAGGGAGATCTTCACCAATTGACAAGACAACAAGTCACAAACAATCTGCATTAATCTGCATTCATGGGATTTTGTGCCAATAACTATTGTTTCTCTAGCTGCTGGCACTCTTATGTTCATCCCCAACCGATAAATGTGAGGTAAGGGATATTTAAGCCATGCTGGTATCCACTCCTCAGCTACTGTACCTCTTTGAAAAGCTCAATGACTTTCACTACACATACAAAATGTTTTAGTTCGTTTTTTTTTCCCTTTTCTGGTTTTGCTAAAACTTAATTTCTTTAACCCACACACATGTTCAGTTTGAGGCGTAGTGTCCCTGGGGGAAAAGTGTATGTAACTGAGACAAAAGTACTCACACCACACTTCTCTTCTTTAATTTCCGTGGAGTTTTTCTCCGTTTCTCCAGTCCGTTCGTCTTCCCAGCCAGTCCGCAATCCGTTCTTTTAATCCTTATTCAATCTGAGTTCCAAAATCCGTAAAGGACCACAAATTCGCGTCGTATCCAAATCACCAACCGTAAACCGTATTTCTTTATTTCTTCCGTTAATCCGTTATTCTTCAATCCGCACAGACACTAACCTGATTCCACTATCTCCTCCAAAATGCATTCACCTACTGGCTTCCACACTGGTTCACTGTTTCCATGACATATGTACAGTATTTTGTTTCCTGACGAGACACACCTGTTTTTCGGATTTAGCCCTTTCCATCTGCAGGTCGGCTGGTTTCTCTTGGCAGCCATCTTGCTCAGGTCTAAGTCGGGTATATTGAGCAGGTCGTTCCTGAAATACCTGTCCTGGATGACCCTTCCCCTGGTCATCTTACAGAGGAATTCAGGTTTTGATTAAAAGCATTAACTTTTAAAAAAAAAAATAGCATAGCCATTATCATTAATTCAACAAAATGTAGTGTCATCACAAGAGGCTAAACACATACGCTCGGCATGGTATATTTCAATAGTGCAAATTGGGCTGCTTTCCCATTCCTGCATGCCCTAGCTGGAAACACCAACTTTTTATTAAATCAGTTCACTGCTGCAGCCATGTGTACCAATGTATATTTGTCAATCCTATTCCCACTGCAAACTCACTAAAAGAACAAGAACCATTGACCAGAGTTGCATGTGTTCCTTGTGCTTGTGCAACTGTGATCAATGGCACTATAAACTCACACATGTCAGGCACAGCACAGTGCTACCTGAGAAGCTAAGAATACTCTGTCCACACTAAAACCACACAACCGTGGTGATGTATGACCAGTCATGTACAGTGTGACAGCTATGTATTCCTATCACAGACTGTTAAGGAGAAAGGCCCAGATTCTAACCAGTGCAGTCTAAAGCACTGAGCCCAGACTGCCCTCCACTAGTGACTTTCCTGCTACACCATTAGATCATCAACGCTAATGTTCGGACTGCAAACACTGAAAATAACATCAAGCCCATACAAATATAGAGGGTCATCTCGCATGTCACAACTAATGAAATTTTAAACCTTTTGCAGCTGTTACAATTAATATTTTGATTTTTCCGGTAAGTATTCAAACGATATTCCTGCTGGCTAATTTTTTTTCCCCTTTTTGAAGAGTCCCAGTCATACCTGATGAGCAGTTCACAGTCCATTGTAATTCACAAGGAATAACAACGTCCCAGGAGCTAGATGCTTTGGAGGACGTTTATTGAGTATTTAGGCATAGTGAAGTGTGGCACGACCCACTGGCCTGGGGGAACAGCCCCCTGGCTGTAGGACGAGGAGGCTGGGACCTGTTGCTGGGTCAGCAATGAACCAAGGAGCAGCCATACAGGTGGAGGTGGGCTGGAGAGGGGAAATGTGAGCCAAAATGCAAAAACAAAACCGATTTGCATATGATATTTATATATGAACAAGTCATAGGTTTATTCCATGCTGAAAAGAGAAGGAAGAAAACACAACACAAGGCTCCACGGCCGAAACATTGTTTTCTTTCTTCTCTTTTCAGCATAGAATAAACCTATTACTTGTTCCTTTGCAGCCTACGTCTGCTGACGCAGGTACCCACCTTATATATATATATGATGTCAAGAATTATAACAACTGGGGCCAAAGACTTGGTTGTCACCATTCCTCCTGCACTGAGAAAGAGTGTAATTCTCAAAGCAGACTGAGCTTTAAATCCTGAATGAAACATTTATTTTTGGACAGGCTGTAGTGGAGAAAAAAAACCCTCTTAATGTCTCAAATCTGCCAAAACAAAGAAGTAAAAAGAATGTACTTCAAAAGAAACATGAAGATATTTTCCAGACATTTTTCAAACAGATTTCTGTGTGGATGATTTATTCCAGTCTGCCCAACACTGATGGAATAAAATAGCACAGCTTACACTTGTAAATTAAAATAGTGTTTATTAAAAAAAGACATTAAATACAGATAATATTTTAACAGAATCGTTTCCTTTCTTAAAGAAAAGATTAGCTGTGATTTCTAGTTTAGTTATATGGAAGGTTTAAAAGAACCGATATTCTTTAAAATTAGATCTTTTTAAAAAAAATACCCGTGAAAGGAGAGATCCGTAACAGACCTGCAGAAAAGTGACATTAATAATGCTGTTCAAATGTATCCTTATATGTATATATGACCTACACATTGCACAATAGCAACATTGAGGAATTAAATTCTTCCCATCTAAATTAATTTAGTGCCAGCTCCTGTCTTAGGGGTGCCGCTGACACAACGTTAGGACTAACAGGAATACAGTATCTGTGAAGGAACGGTTGCTCTATCACACGGATGGATGAGAAATCAAGAAAAAATGGGACTAAGCAGGTCAAGAAAATTAGCAAATGGTACGCACACGATACTTTACTGGTGGAGATGGTTCTTGCATCCTTCTTAATGATGGCCGAAACTCGTGCCACACAATCAGTAGTGATTACATTCCCAAAATACAGTGTTCTTGTGCAATTAAGGTCAGGTCACTCAATTATGATCTGGGTCAGCTTACATGAGTTGTATTGATGATTTAATTTAAGTAATGCACATATCACTAAAAGCCCCCACACAGCTGGGCAGCTGAAGCTTCAGATACTCATCAGAAAGTTGAAGAGTGGCAATCTTCCCCTGGGCCAAAGCCAACGAAACCTGACGCAAATGTTGATTGCATCCTGCAATTTTACCTGGAGGGGCATTCAGATATTTAAATGCAGCCAAGCTGTGAGGAAACCAGACTCTACACTGGAGTAAATATAGGAGTCCTTCATGTCTCAAATCATTTCCAAATGTTCTGGAATTGAAGCCTAAAGCAGAGATGTGCTTCTGCTTATTTGGTGCTTGCAACCTGCTTTTTACACAAATACTGTATTAAACACCCTAGAATCTTACTTTTTTGGACCTACTACCTACAAAGCATCCAATGCACTGTACTATGACATTAAAGTGTCTGGCTTGAAAAGTCAAGACCATTGTTACAGTCTGGTTTCACACTATGACGTGAGAGAGTGCCAGCCCAGACGCACAAGTGATATCGCTGTGGTGTGAATAACTAGGTGATGACGATTATTATTAATTCATCCAGCTGAAGCTGTTCTTCAAGACAGTTGACATTTCTACCTAGTTATATTGCCAGGCATTTAACAGAGTGAAGAACCTTGCTTAAAGGTAGCTGCAGTGCCCAAGCCATGATACCAGCCCACAGGTTTCTGATTTGGAGAGCACAAAGTCCTAAGCAGTGATTTCACTGGCACTATGAAGCAGTGACAAACAAGCTAAACAGACAGCCTCAAAAAAGGGGTTGAGATATTGCTAGAATACTGCAAGGGAGGTGTGACATAAAACCATATAAAGATACAAAAACAAAGTCGCCAAAAATGTCCTGCTGTGTGATTTCCTGCTTCATCACCTTTATCACGCAGTTTGCATTCTGTGGTGAGAAATTTCAACAAACTAAAAAGTGCTCTATGTGCTGGAGGTGGCCTGACATGGCTTGGAAAAAGTGCTGCTGGCACGGACTAATTCTAACCCTGTGAATGCCTGCAAAGCTCAGTGTCTAGCACAGTGATACTCCGACTGCAGATCGAAAGCCACAAGTGGCTCTTTAACCTCTTCAGCAGTACTCTCCACTCCAATTTTGGATTACAGGTGGTAATCCTGTGCAAAGCCCAGTAACCCTGAGCACAGCTGGGTTTGAGGGTATTCATTCTCATCGTCGCTGAGCCTCACTCACACAGCGTACAGCACAAATTAGAACGGCACGAAAAATGAGATAAGAAATAATTATTTATGCAATACTTCTAAAGGGGTTCCTTCCCCATGAAGCGCACAATATCGAAGTACCATGTGTCCTTTGATAATGCCGATCATGAAGTATCGGAAGATTTCCAGCCTCAGAATCCTCAGGGTCAGTGCATGCTCCTGTCAGGACACCTCTGCCCAGATGGAGTGCTCCCCTGCTGGCACGACCTCCCGCAGGACAGCACTGCAGTGTGCAGCAAGAACAGCCTGCGATCAGTGGCCTCAAACTACTGTCTCGAGCGCACAGCCCGATTTCACAGGCTGGGGGCGTGAGAGAAGGAGTGCCACATAGTTCACTGACAACTACTGGCTTCGGGGAAGACACCAAGCCAGAAACAAAACAAATACTTTCCCTTGTCATTCTGCACGGATATATTTAGCTCCGGAGCAAACAAATACTTATTTCTCTGTTTCGTTTATGAGAAAAGGGTCACCTGACCCAAGAACTGCCGAGGTCTGAGTAACTCTGGTCTAGAATGATCTCTATGTGTGTCAAAGTGCAATCCAATGGCAATGGAACTATCAAGGCGGGCTTACAGGAAGAATCTTCAGCATGATGGCCTTGGCCATGCAGCAGTAAAGCAGTGGGGTCAGTTATGTCTGGGTATCTCTTACAGTAGTCAGCACAGAGTCCAGCTCACAACAACAGTTGTGAGAGGAGCTGAAGTGCTATCCTCTACCCCATGACTTCTTACAACACAACCTGGAAAAAACATGGAGAATCAATTCAAAGGATTCTATTTAAGGAGTAGGGCAGCTTTCTTGACCCTGCACAGAAAGGTCCAGCAATGAAGTCCCAATTATGCATACAGTATACATAACAAAATGATGCATAGCTGAGTAAAGGACCTTGTGTTTTTTTTTTCACAAGGTACATTATACATTTATTGATACACGTTCAAACACACATGCTCAGATATAATTGTACTGTATGCATGTCAGATTTTTACATTTAGTCTGTCAGGATCAAGTTGGTCACAGGCAGTTCTTTTTTAAGTGAGTGGAAATTCCCTCATTCTTTTCAGAAGTGAAGTGCCTTCTCTCGCTAAACAATAGTGCAGATCATTTTCTAGTATTTGGGAAATTCAAAGCTCCCTATACACAATATAGAAAGCTGTAAGAAATAAATTGCAAGGCCTAGTTGTGATTTCCAGTCTTCACAAGCTTTCTGTATTCCCCTTAAATCGCATGGCAGAATTCCCAGCCCCTTCCTGCCAAGACAGGCCTTACAGTTCATGCCAGCACCTTCAAAGGTCTCTGTTTATTCAGTCTTGTGCGTGCAGTCTTCAGACACTGCATATACTCTTTCACTTATTCTCTAAATTATAACAGTGAGCTTCTCCTCTTTCTTTCCCATCGTAGCCCGGCAAAGGCTGGCCGTATTTGTCCACACACCAGCAGTAGCCTCTTTTTCTGCCCTTGGATGGACGACACTGCAGGAAAATCAATCCAGAAAAATGCATTACTGAATCATAAAAGACGAACATTTCTTAACATTGTTTTGGGGGGGGGTCGATTTCCAAAACATGACAGAGGCACACAAAAAAAGAGTGGGAACAGGTATTTAAATAAAAAAAGAAATCTGACAAAAACATCATAGATATTCTATATGTTTATGGCTGATGTATTCACAGCTAATAATAAAAAAGTCACCTGTTAAATACTATATTAAATCTTAACTATGATATGTAATATTGTGTTATTAATACAATGATTAAAATAATTAAAGATGTAAATGATTAATGCATAATGTAATGAAAAATATAATTGAATTGTGATGACTGATATATAATACCATCCATTGATATATGGATCTTATATCTAATAATTACAGATCTCGCAAAGCTCCCCAGCACAGACAGAAGAGGGTACATTACTGTGATTTTCTGTAGCTTTGTAGTAATACAGTGAATCTTTTGATCTGTGAGACTATGTTTGCAGAACAGAAGCCTTAATGAGAGAAGAGACAAATTTAAGTCTCAGATTCACCTCAGAGTTTTTTCTTTTGCGATACACACACTCAATAATTGCATAATCAATGTGCCAAGTGAAACAATGTGGCTTTGCTATCAATTTCCAATTTAAACAGTATTCTTCCCTATTATTCTTTTCATATCCCCAAATACATTCTGACATCCTTTAAAATGATTTTACAATAACAATGGGCTCTGGCAAATTAAGAACTGCGGCAATACTGACATTCTTGTTTCAGCAACCAAGAAGAGGTTGATGAGCGTCATTTCACTGCCCAATAACTAGCAAACGGGAATATTTTCACATTTTTCAAAATGACATCTTCACAGTATTTTGGGGTTTCACCCTTTGTTCTAGTTCTACGCACACAGCACGGCCTGTTCACTGTCACGTCCACTCTGTTATGGTTTCTCCATCTTGAAAGGATACTATGCATGATTTAAATCCAAAATCTGCCCTTGGGTCTCTTTTTTGAGTGACGGGGTCATGTTACGTGATGAACAACCCACTTTTTTTTAAAAAAGGCAGAAAGAGTGTAAGGTTAAACAAAATCCTGCTCCAATATTTACCCAGATCCTTTTGAGGAAAACTGAAACCCTTTCAGAAAGCTATTTTAAGCAGCTGGCAGGCTATCAAAAACCCACTTTACATGGCATGATCATCTGTTGCTGATTATATATAGTAAATGAAGTTGTAATTTAATGTCTTTATGTTATGGCATAGTTTCCGTACATAGTGCTGCTAATGTAGATGATGGTCACATTTTGAAGAAAATTCACATAATTTCCCACATAACTGCTAAGTAGGATTAAGCGTATACTTTCTGTACATTCTAAAACTCACATCAAGATAACCTACACACATGAAAATAATTATCTCCGAAGGAGGCACTGTGGAGTGGAGTGCGGCACCAGCCAGATATCGCTCTTGACTGCAGTCTCAAGCCATCCTCCCGGAGCCCAGTAAAGTGAAGAGGCTTTGTATCGTTTAATAATGATTTTTGATCAAGTGCCTCTGATTTTAACTCATCCTGAGCCAGTTCGGTCTGAAACAAGGAGTTCCGAAACAAGGAGAGCCGCCTTCAGGATGATTTTGACCGCTGACTGCTGCACAGCATTTGCAATTTGAGTGAGCGAATGGCCTGCAGCCACGGATGTATCTGGGCTACTGCTTAAAACCGTTTGCCGGCAATTCTGTGAAAGCCACATATTTTCACCTTTACGAATCGAGCAAGGGGCACAGCTAGTACAAGGCATCCCGGTTCTGGCCCAAGGCCATGTCATTAGCACAGTGCAACAGGGATACTCCAGTTGGCGCCAAATAATTGTTGAATTTTGCCGGGTCGAGATGGGATGAGCTGGCCAGAACTTCCTCTGTTCGCCACGCGACAGTCAGACCATCTGTCCTGATGGCCCAGCTCTCTCTTTGGCACTGTGGCTCTCGGTCAGAAGAAAAAAAGACGCTGAACGTGCACGATTCTGAGGAGGCCGTGTCGATTATGAGGTGATGGTTGCAAACAGGGGTGTATAAAAAAAAAGAAAGATAAAGCAGATAAGCAGTTTCTTTTTTTTTAACCTTCTATTGCAGTTTTTCAATTCAACTAATATGCAAATCGACAACTGTTTACGGCTCAGGGTGACAGCTCCTGTAGTGCCCCCGGCACACTGCCAACAGGGCGGCGCTGTGGCATGGGAGATAGCAGGAAGGCAGCAAAAAAAAAAAAAAAAAAGACAAATGATCTAGGAACTTGGGTTAGAAAGCACACAAGAAAAACACAGCCTTAATTCTGCCGGGGAACAGGACACATTAGTAGTGACAGGCTTGATCAAAATACACCTAAAAAACTTCAGGGACTGAAGTGAATACAAAACTGAAAGGTGCCCACACACACAAGATGCCTAGTCACAGTATATTAAAATCCATGGGACTATTCCCTCCCTACACATTTTACCCTTGAAATACAACATGACTTTTTCGGCAGGAAGATCTGTGTCAGGCCCTTCAGGCCCTGTAACAGATTCTGCAGTGTCTGTGTGTGCTCCTTTTGTAGTTTGGACTTGTGTCACACGAATATTATCTCTGTGCCAACGCTGCTCATAAATACAAAACACTCCTTTGAATTCCAGATTTTGTTCATATTCACAACGCTGGAAAACTGTCCAGCATCAGAAAGACCTTAAGTTGGTTCTAAATGTGCTTCCCGAGAATCTTTAATAACCAGTTAACCAGAAAAATAACAATTGCTGCTACTCCTACTGTATCTTTATATCCTTCATCGACTCTTGACTTCTGCACCAACAGACACCAATAAATACAAATACAAATTCACTTATTTATAAACAAATCTTTGCTTTACTCAATCACGTGACAAGTGTCTTATGCCAGTGAAATGTTTTATATTTTTTTCAAATTTGCACTCCTTGTGGCAAACTTTAAAGGAACGTATTTCATGTAGTTGTTTGAATAAGCGGAATGCACTACATTCTAGTCTCTGATTAATAGAATACTGCAAGACATAACATTTATTTTATAGATTGCAGTTGGAAGTCTTACAATATAAATACATTCATAGGAAATAATCAACTACTTTGGTCTGCAAAAAACATTTATTCCTGAATTCTCATAAAACATCGGTTTACATCAATAAAATTCCCTTTTATGAACATGCTGAGGTTTTTGCAGCTACCATACTACAATTTTGATCACGACAGAGCACATTTTATTTGGTGTATACAGACATAATGTGTGCATTTATAGCTAATAGGAAGAATGTTAAGCTGACTGGGCATTAAAAAGAAATCACAGAAACCACAAAGTAAATATGGGCTCATAAAATGACCTACAGAAGCCTTTTTTCCCTCTTACTGGAGGATATTGCTGTCCTAAATAGCTACTGAAAGAAAAAAAAAGGAGAAAATAAGGGTCTCTCACTGAAATGGCTTCAAAATTATCATAGGTCAACTAGAAAACTTACACAAAAAGACTAGCTTTAGTGTAATATAAATATTACTTTGGTAATTCCACAGCACATGAAAATAACTGTATCCATATGACTGCATTGCTAGGTAGTCATTTATTATAAAGCAGTTGTGGGCAACAGAAGATCTTAAAATGCCTTCAGATTTATTTTTGTATGGCTTTTCAAATGAGACAAGCAATTATGGAGAAAAAGCGCTTCGATAGGTGGTGGCCACCTTGCCGCACAAGCCCTTGGGGAACTGCACTAGGTGACCTCCCATTCTGCCTCGTTGCTCCTTATTTTGAAAGCCTAAGGGGTCAGGGCAACTCCTCCTTAGCTATGATCAGCAATCCTAGACTGGCGCAGTATTCTGTTTATTTTTTACATTCTTTTACGTTTCCTCTGAAGCTACGGCAACCTATCGCTTTGGCACATGATAGTATTATTCTCGAGATATCATCATTACAGCTGGTAGGCAGTGAAAACAGGTAGGTCTGAGCTGCGAAAAAAGGGTATTGTATTCCATTTTGTACATGCAGGCCTATAATTAGCTTCCACTGAAACCTCAACAGGTACAGAAGCTCTTCTAAATGACTAGACTCAGACTTCCTACATCCACTTCAAAGGACAGCACCCTTAGGCACACTGGCTTGGCTTTGTAGGAGTACATGTCTCGCTTAGCATGACAACAGGAAAGAAACCTGGATCACTGTTGTCTCTTCCATTGATTTTCTGTATCATTCCCTTCCAAAATCACTTAGATTGCCTGACGTCAAGCAATCAAGTGCCTGTAATCAATTCTCACTAAGGCCACGATAACATGCTCTTAAATTAGTAAAGCAAGGCAGCTGTAGTCACTCAAATCTGAATGCCAGCTGGTTGATGATTCTTACAAATGTGTACCATGGTTCTGCAGTCACTGTACAGTTGTAAAAACCTCAGTGAAAGACTCTAGGAACGCATGAAGGGTCACAACATCCACCAGCTCCACCCAGTCCTTGGGAGAGGAGCAGAAACCAGGGCACCCGAGAAAAAACCCTTGGGGACAGGGGGGAAACACGAAAAACACTCCAACTCCACCAGGGCAGAAATGTAACCACTCAAAACGTCAAACAAAACCAACTGAATTAAACAGAGTATTTTATCTTTTTTAAACCAAGGAGCCCAAGGCATACGATAGGTATGGAGGAAGCTTTTTACTTCCAACTCCGCCAATCTGTTCCTTAAACTCTTCACTTAATACTACTGTATGTATCTACTCAACACACTTAACAGGTGAAAAAATACTTTTATGATGAAGACACCTTATTACTCTACATCATACTCTTCACAAATGTACGCGCCACAACTCTTAAATCTATTCTCATTTACACATGAGGTACAAACTGAAAGAATCTCCCACAGAGCAATAGTAATAATAATATTAAACTCTATAGCCCTAAAAATTCTTTTGAAGACCTAGGTGTTTATTTTAAAATTTCTGGGCAGCTTCTCCAGCATCTGTTGGAGAGCGATGGCGTTTTGGAGGTCTGGTATTTAATGTGTAACTTCTTCAAATAACTTATTCTTAAAATACAGTCATGAAGAAGCCACAATTGCTTAAATACACATTAAAAGGATGTCTGTCAGCAGGTGTCAAATTGCATTTTTAACCAGAAAAAAACAATGTATACTGAAAATGGAGCAAATGGAGCATATTTTCTGTTTCTACTGATAACAAATGTATGCAAATGTACATTTTATTGTACACCTCAAAATATGGAGGGAAAATATTTACTTTTTTCCCTTTGTTGAAAACAGGGATATCAAAAACAGTGGAAAACAAACACTGAAGGATTAATTTAATATTAATGTGACTTACAAATAAGTGCTTCAGAATATGTTTAAACATTAATAGTGAACAGGACAGATTATCATTTTTTTTAAAAAGGTTTGTTTTTGACAACAAACTTTTATATACTATATAAGTAACACAGAACCTTGAGTATTTTTGTAAGTCATCCTGCAGCATAGAGAAGAGACATGGCCAGTTACTTCATCATGTAGTAGGATCACAGTTGGTCAGATACATCTGTATCTAAATATATATTGTACATCTAGCAGTTCAGAAACACAACCCCTGACACATTATTATTGATTACAGATTGATGCAGACAGTATTGCATGAGCCATGCCTCGTGGAATTTAGCACTGTAGTGTTAAAATATCACAATGCTATTGGTGTTACTGTAACAAGGGGCCTAACACAGGCCTCAGAATGTGGTCAGTAACACCGAGCAGTGAGATTACCACAGCCAACAAAAAGCCAACCCCTAAACTTATAACTAGCACTACCCTCCCCACCCCCTCAATCACACACATACCAACACAATGCAATTCCCTCACACACACAAACCTCATGGTTCCAATACTATACACCTGCCCTACCATTGCCCTGGAACACGCAACCAGGGTTATTGTTCACAATGAAAATGCAGACTGATTTCATCTGTGAATGCATTAGTTGCAGCATGCATGTACAATTGATAAGGAACAAGTAAAGTTTCGGCTGTGGATTCTCTCCAGGTGTCAAAATTCTTGTTAGACGCCCAACGATCACTGATCACACTGCGTGAAAACGATTGATTCAGTTGCCAAAATGATTATAAAAGACCTTTTGGCTTTGTAAAAGTCGATGAGCTGTGAGACGTTTAAATCTCACTGCAAATGAAATATGCTCTGATTGACTGATCAAGTTTCTGTTTTAACAGATTAAAAAAATGTAACCAATGAAGGGGACTCTAGTCCACTGTCGCTAAAAACACTCAGCATGGAAAAAACTAAGCCTTGCTCCATGTCTCTCAGCTATTTCAGCAGCATTGGTGCAGATTCTGCACATGCTAGAGCCAATCTGGAACGGTGCAGTGAGAGTGAAATTGGTTATTTAGCTGACTGTTACTATTTTTTAGACCACTGCAGAGTACGCTAGCCAATGGCAGAACTACAAGAAATGTTTTCAGATACAATTTCCATTCGCTTCTCTTCTGCACAGTACGGTATGGGGAAAAAAGTTATTTCTCTGGAAGCCGCAAGTGATACCAGACATCCAACAGCACGAGCAGCCATTCCTCTGCAACAAGAATGTTCACAGCGATAATGATACAGGAGAAAAAATCTCATCTATGTGACAATTGGCTCACGTGTTTTTGTTGTTTTCTCTTTCCCTCAAATTCAGCAGCTCCACATAACAGGGCCAAAAAAAAAGCATATCCTCAGTTCTTACAAATTTACAGCTGGCGAGAGTGCTGAATGGTATTTTAACTCTTCTAAACAGCGAATACTTTTAAATACAATAAGCAAGGTCTTCTGTCTTGACTTGGGAATGGGGCCTCATGGTTAGATCACCTTGAGACAAAGATCACATCGACATCCCTGTGCAGCCCATGATAGCAGAGCACCATCACCACACCACCCATTATACACACTATAGGCAGTGTGTACTGCCACAGGGTAAAAATGAGCAAGCTGAGCAGCGACGTGGCTGCCAATGTAACACCCAGCAAAGGGCTGAAACTTTTAACTTTAGGGTTCTCAAACACAGGAGGAAGTGACACTGCTGGCCCTAGTTTCAAACTAAGATGTTCATCATCTAATGATCTATTATCAGAACTATGAGAGTCGGTAACTATTTCGCCGAGATCTTCCACCGGTAGAAAATACCCCCATTTTGAATATCTAGTCAATAGAGCAGGAGTGACTGGAATTCTGCTTTGCCCACCCTCCTTTAAGAGAAAATTATCCGTTGTTAATCAGTGACTTCCACAAAAATACATAAATATGTGCATGGCTAAAGCTGGAAACACTACATAAACAGCAGATTAACAAATACATCAGACTGGGTTCGAAGACATCTGGTTGGGTCTGACTAAGGTACATAATCCCACTGTTTCTTAAACGTCTATTTAAACAATGAATTACTTACTGTATGCCAGATAACCAGCCACTTACAGTTATTTGCTTTCAAAATTCACAGGTGTGAATTTAATAAAAATGCGATTCATAAAATAATACCTAAATTCCGACACAAAGTATTCAAGGAAAGAGGACATTGCCAACCACCAGAATAAATGGTAACATATGCAGCTGAACTACAAATACATATTAATACCTTGTATTTAAACACTTTCAATAACACATGTTCCAAAAACCATCTTTTAGCTCACAACTGGAAAGGGAATGGAATGGCCAAGGCAGATATCTGACAGGACACGTTTTGAGGAATGAACAGTTGGTTTAATTAAAAAAATATATGAAATTGGTACTGCAGGTATGCAACCAAATATTTCTGTAAATAGCGTTCAGCACCTTGGATAGCTCATTAGACAGGTGGTATATACTTCATACCCAGAGGCGATCCTGTTTTTCACCCCCCTTACAAACCCTCACGAGGCAAAAATTCAATGCTCGAATGGCAACCTAACACATCGTGCCACTTCAGTGGGAGAATAAAAACTCACAAGGTGCGCCAGTCATCACACAGGAAGTTGTAGGACACTGCTGTGTATTATGTGCCAACTCTATGGTAGATTTATTGCAATGCAGTTTTTCTGTAAGAACCCATTACATTCACATTTTGTCAGCTCTTTTGTGATAAATGCGCTTCATTTCTGTTCACAACACCAACTTATTTCCTTTAACTATTTCCGGCTTAATGGCTCTGATTCCTATAGCAGCCTAAGGGATTAAATTAAACACAACTGGGGAATTTGATAATCTGGTCCCGGCATGTGCTCCTTTTGGTCTGGTGAGTGGGAAAATACAGGGACACGCATATCACCAGAGGAATATTTTTAGTAGTAAGTGAATACATATTTAATAGAACACATAGCTACTCTCTTTCTTGACTGTTAAAAACAGCACAGGATGAGGATGGAGGAGATAAGAAAGGGAAAAGCAAAATTAAAAAAAATAATTACCTGCTTTTTCTTGTAGAAGCCTTTTTTGTCACAATTTGGAATGCGAAATCCTCTGGGATTCAGAATATTTGTGATTTTAAGACTGTTTAGAATGCTTTCCATTTCTCTGCGGCACGGTCCCTTTAAAATATAAATAAGAAACATTAACTTGATGTCACACAGTAAAACCCAAGCTTTTTATTCGTCACCTAATACAAACATGTATTATCAACCTGTATCTGTGTTACATTTAGAATTTAAAAGCATTTTATCTCACGAAATAGCAAACGGGGCTGGATTTTAAAGGACACAATCACAAAACCCCAAGACTTTCCAAACATTTACTTCAGTACAGAAGCCAAGACCATATCCAATACATCTTTACAGACATGAAATTATGAGCGATATCTATTACCATGACAAACTCAGGTTCATTAGGACCTGCAATTATCAACTGCCTTAAAATTCACCGATTGTTTTTTTTTTCCAATGGTGACACAGCACCTTTACATATCATGGCCATCTGACATGATTATGACCTATGGGTAAAGTGAGTAAGACAGAAATAGAGACACTTTCAAGCTCTAATATGCATAGAATTTCTGGGTTCTAAATTCCACCTCCTCTTCCTCACTGGGGAAGCTGGGAAATGATTAACGTAGGATCGGCAAAGACAGGATAACTGAAGGGTGGGTCCTCCATTCCTGCAGCAACGTCGGGTTTCCATGAAGGCCTGTATGGATTCCTGAATTGTCCAGGCTCATCCAACAGGGAACAGATCCTCAGTGCCACCATGACACAATGCCTCCACACCACCGCCTCACGGTTGCTTTGTGTCAAAGCTATGGTGTGGGACCCCAGAACACTCTCCTCCGGCAGCAAGCTAATGGTGAAGAGAGCTGAACAGCGATGTCAGGTCGTAATCCGGCACAGAGGCAAGAGGGCCATCAAGAGGCACTTGCGATGAAGCAAAAGTACTGAGCCGCCCTTTTTAGGAGCAGCAATGTTCACCCCTTTTGGGGAAGAGGGATACAAAGGGTGCCCTAAAAATAGCCTCCACTCCTGCCTGGATAGCCACATCCAGGAAGATCAGCTCTCTATGGTCGAAAAACACACAAGAGGGTATTCAAATTCGGGACGTGGAATATCAGGACCCAGAGGGACAACATCCTTCCAGTTCAGCATGTGTAGCCCAAAAATGCAGAACATACAACAATGACATCACTCCAGGGAGTGAAACCAAATGAGCCAGGGAAGGAATATGGGCTAAACTTATTTCTGGAAGGGAAATCAGAAAAAAAAGGTCAGATTCACGGGGTTGAAAATTTCAACTCCAACAGCCTTCTTCTTACCACATGCGTGCTTGTTCTCAACAAAAAAAACCATTTGGCCAGGAGAATGGATACAAAACATTCTGGCAACACACACAGTTCAAACACTGGCACTGATTAACTTTGCTATTTTCTGCGCCCAGAATTACAGAGCTATAAAAAAGTTTATGACTGCCAGACCAATCACTATTTTCTCAGTTCAATTAGATTCATCTGGGTCCCAAACATCGCCTGTAGAAGAAGCAATGTCCATGGAAAATCAAAGTCGAAACACTGAAGGGTCCAAACAAATGAGAGCAGTTTCAAGAACGCTTTCGAGAAAAGCTCTTAAGCAAAAACAGAAGAAAAGGTTTCATAACACTAAGGAAGACCTCAAGACAAATATAGCCACTGCCTGCAAAGAGACACTTGGATTTTATACCATTAAACCTCGGGACTGTTTTGATGGGAATGACAAGGTGACCGATGGACATATTATCTCAAGCACAAGGCTTTCTGTGCAGAGCTAATAAAGAGCTAAATAAAATAGGGTTAAATAAAGAGCTGATGGTGTGAAGCATACAGTAAGTGGTGGACAGACAAGGGAAACTTAAAAGACATAATCGATATCACAGGTGTGTGTTCTGCAAAAGGGCTGTTGGGGGTCTGAGCACCTAAGGAACACTCCCTCCAAGAACTCAGGAAGGGGGAGATTTGATCCATGAAAAGGGAGGCCATCAAAATCTGTTAGAAGGAGTATTTTGAACACCTATTCACCCAAGAATCCACTGTCAACAAAAGTGTATTCACTTCTATCCCACAAAATCCGATTCAATCATCCGATTCGCGATGAGCTTGGAACTCTACCAAAGTTTAAGGAGGTTATGAATGTCATCACACAAATGAAGAGCAAACACATCATCGGGGTGTGATGAAATTACCACTAATTTTTTTTTCAGCACAGCAGACAGAAACTAACACTACAACTGCTATTTTAAAAATGTCAAGATTGCCATGATCGTGAGAATTCTCAAGAGACAGGAAAAATCCAGCTGTGAAAATTACAGCAGGATCTCTCTACTGTCCCACACAGTCACCATCATTAGAAGAATTCTCCTGAACTTTCTTCCAAAGAGTTTCATCCAAAACCCAAGTTTCAGTTTAACATGCCTCGTCAGTCATGCCTCTTGGATTCTGTAATGACCATAACATTTTAAAGCCTGTTCGTTACAGAAGCAACACCCATCTCTCTATATTTACTTGGCATTCCTTGACTTGAAAAAGGTGTTTCTATTACAATACACCCTGGAAGATCCTCCTGTAGTGTGGATGTCAGGATTCTTCACATGCTTTTAAAGCAATGTATGTGCAGTAATCCTCACTAACGGATCTATTACAGAACACCGAGGTCCAGACCATAGTCAAACAAGGCTGTGTCACTATGCCAACTCTATATACAATATTTATGACCGTCACGCTATATTTGATAACAGACAAGCCCCTTGCTGGAGAACAGCTAACGTACTGAGTGGAAGTTCAATTATTTAATCCACAGACTCCAGTCGAAAATGAAAACCGCCCAGTGGTCAGCACACAGTATGTGCCATGACAGAAAAGTATCTCCAGGTAATATGACTTTTCACATGCTGGTTAGGGAGTATTTCGCATTATTTATAGTTCATTCAAAACTAATTTTTCTCATGAATATTTCTGAGTGTGAAGGTGCTGTGGATCTGGTAAAAGGCTGAAAGACATGAAAACCTTGATTCCAGTTTGACTCCAATATATATTTATTATTTAACAATGTGTCAAATTTCTGGCAAGACAGGCAAGGCTATCTTGCCAATGTATGCATTTCATGATCTGTTAACATGACCAGATGCAAGCACAGTCGAATGAACTGCTACAGCACGTTGTCTGTTCCACAAGATCAGAAACATGTCCAAGGTGCTATCACCGATGACAATGATGGTGTCACCAAAGTGATTTTACAAACTCTCTTTGGCACCCAGGCTCTCCTCTGTGTGAGCCCTGCTTTGATTTGGTCCAATCTGCTGTAGCCTTTGTAACATCAATTTTTTCCAGCCAAAAAAAGAAAGACTGTAGATGACAATTTGTCCACATATCAGTATTTCTCTTCACAGAAGCTTCCAAACTAATAATATTGTAAACGGGCCGGGATGAAAATGTCCTCGCTGAAATTTGACTGGAATCTCCAATGGCCTCGTGCTTGGCTGCAGCCATGATCAATATCACTCACTTTTTCTCAGCTCCAAAATCTCAAACATTAGTTCAGGGGAAGGTTAAAAAAAAAACTAAAACAGTTGTGAAGCTACTTACATACTCTGTTTCCCGCTTGGAATCTAAGGAGAAGTTCTGCATATCTGTGCTTATTCCACCTGATACGGACTCCACTTTATAACTTTGTGACTTTTTGGATTGTTCTTTCTTTATAACCTCCACTTTGGTGTGATGTGGAGGCGATTTTGAATCCGGCACTCTGTGTGTGTTCTCGGTGCCTTGGTAACCCACACTGCTGGCATTTCTTTCTTCTTCAAATTCCCTGGCACTTTCTGTCAAAAAAAGAAGAGAGGAATGTTGTTATTGTAAATCAATAAAATTCCATGAACTTTTTACACTATTAGTTTAGATTCTGGCAGAAAGGAAGGTTAGGTCTTATGTTTCCTTGACAAAAAAAAAAAAGAAAAAAAACACTTGCAGTCACTCAGTTATATGTACAGGGTAGACTTATACTTATACTATATTAAAAAAAAAGTTCTAACCACATTGGAGGTTTTTCAAACCAGAGAAGCAAAGTACTCTAAGTCACCCAGCCAACTAATAAACAGTAACATAACTATTTAACATCAACAAATCCTCCTTTCCAGAAGGCACCATTCCAAGCGTACAGAAAGAAATGAGGAAACTTATTTATAGACCACTGGCAAAGATTCTTGACAAATCGTTAAAGACAGGGAGCGAACCACCTGACCAGAGGACTGCAAATGCAGTACCCAAATATAGGAAAAGGCAGAACTGGGGAAATTATAGACCTATTAGCTATACATCTATAACCAAAAAGATCAAGGAACCAGAACTCATCTTCTGCACAGGGATAAAAAAAGATCTTTTAAGACTCAGCACGGATTCCAACAAATATGTTTTGCAAAAAGTGTCAATGTCTGGTTTATACATGAATATGAAAGTGCACGTACAGTATTTGTCTTCAAAATGAAGTATTTCTAGGTGAACTACATGGATCATTACACTATAGGTCTGCAGACGAACATTTTGCCACTGTGCTCAGAGGACATGTCAACACTAACCAGCATATAGATAAAGTATAGAGCTGAGTGTAGGAATGAAAAATGAATGTTGTAATAATAATAATAATAATAAAATAATAAGAATAATAAGAATAATAACTGTCAACGAGCGATCAATTGGTAATGATGTCTATCCTCTTATAAAATTAAACTGTGACAATACCGTGACAGTTATTGTTTTGAACATTTTAAGACTTTTAAATTAACATCACACAAACAGATGATTAACAGGAGAGGGAAATTTAAAAGTGATCTTTAAAAATTGGGTATTGTGAAATCTAACATGCTGTATCCTGTTTGAGCCTCAAAGTGAAATGAGTTCAGAAAAGGCAATGTACAGTAGGATGTTTAACAGACTGATTTTATGAAGAACTGATTTCCAAACACCCAAGTCAGAAATAAATTCAGTTTTGAAACAAGATCAGCAAAGTCAGGAGTTATTGGGCCCTGAAGCACAGTAGAATAAGATCTATTTTCCACTCAGATTTCTAACACAAAAACAAAGTCTTATTTGAACAGAGATTCATAGACATGTGGCAAACGAGACAAGCTCCTCAGCTGGTGATTTTGAGTGGATCAATTAGTAAGTACTGCAACAGGACTGCAATCACAGGTCAAGTGGTCGCCTCTTTTTATACCACTTGTAACATTTTTTCCAAACCAAATATAAAACTGTTGGTTTTAATTTTTAAAAATATCTGACAAATAGATCTCGGCTAGTCAGAAAGATATATTTGGATATGTGTGTAACATCAATATTTAGTCACAGCGTGAATTTGTATATGTCTGCTTCAGTGTTTAAAGATTTTGAACATTTTACTTAATTTGTTTGCCTAATCTCTGTCATGTAAATAGATGTGGGCAACAACAATTTGAAATGCAGCACGCAAGCTCATTAAAAAGAGGAATGTGAGTGCATGTGCCTCCTTAAAATCGCGCTTGGTGGCCCAAAACGATACAGCTCTAGAGGCAATTATATATGTCCACCAGAAGGTGGGAATATGGCAAAGCTGGAGCAGCATGAAATCCTGGAACTTCTCACAAATCCATTAGCAGAGCAGGTTCATTGATTAAAGGCTTCCACTCATCAGCAAAAATCGATGTCGCCGGTATTTCAAAATGTTTTGATTTCCCTTATTTTAGGGTGTCTTCAATACAACCATTACAGATGTCCAGATAACAACTGATTACTTATTAAAAACTCCATTAGTTAATGTGTCCACCCATCCATTTTCTAACTGCTTTATCCAGTACAGGGTCACGGGGGAGTCTGTCCCGGCAAGGAACAGGCGTGAAGCACGATACCCCAATCCAGCGCAAGATACCGTATACATAGACACAAATGTACCCACTTTTATACCTTGGCCATTTTTTCCTAGAGGTCATTTTACATACCTGTATGCCTGTGGACTGCGGGAAAAACCAGTGCACCTGAGGGAAAACTACACAAAAATGGGGAGAACATACAAACTCCAAGCAGACAGCATCACAGGAATTGAGCCCATGGCCCCAGTGCTGCGAGGCAGCATTTCTGACCACTGGACCACGTCACCTCCCCTTAACAAGATCAAGTTTAAGGGAACCGGTCATCTTTTAATCCACAGCTTTTCAGCAAATAGTCCTTGCTCTAGAAATCACTCATTTTAAAACATTCAATACAGTTACTTTGAAAAGAGTGTAAAGAATTCCCAAATCACCAATATGGCCGAATACTGACAGCAACTAAATTGTGAAGAATAACTGCAACACGGAATACCCAAGCGATAAATGCCTGAGCACCCTAGGGTAGGGTAGGGTGCAACTAGGCAGGCAACACTCTCAGAGATCCCCTATGACCAGCTCTGACATGCTAAAAGATCATTGGCTCTGAGGTGGGCAGGTCAGCAGAGTCTGCCTACACTTCCTCATTCTTCCCCATGTGCGGTAGCATGGTTCATAGCTGCCAGCCAATCTAAGACAAACACACAACTGGCTACTGCAAATACACACTTTAATACAGGTGTGTATAAAAAATAAATGGCCATTCTAAATCTACCAAAAATTAAAGACATGTGAAAATGGGAGCAAAACTGACATAAAACAAGCAACCACACAAAACATAGCTACTCCAGGACACAATCTTAGCCTTTAAAATGGTAATCACTTGTTCATAAGGTTTTTTTTTCAATGTATCACAGTCCATGACAGAAATATGCAGCTGTAAGTGACCTACACCAGGAGCTAATCAAAATGGGTTTTGTCATTTCGCGCGAAGAAACAGTTAAATGCAGGAGCCTTTTCTACCCCGCGCTCTTCCTTTCTTGCAGATTAAACAGGATAAAGGCTCCAGGAAGGCCTTTAAAGCCTCGGGCCCTGCAGTCGTCAGGTACATTTCCACTGCCTCATGTCACACATCGCGCTAAGCATGTTCGCACATATTCACTCCCCTCCAGCCCTCAATTAATAGACAAGGCTTCCCCTGCAGTGAGGTGGAGATGTGCACTTAAGCAGATGGTGCCTCTTGCAGAGAGAAATTAATGGGCAGCATATCAGAGCACAAACAGGACCAGCACCAAGCCAGTGTGGCAGGGCTTATTTCATCTGTTTGTTTGCTCTCCTCCTGAAGCCCCCGAAATAAAACACTTGCTAAGCTGTGGATGATAAAATAGATTAAGAACGTCTAATCTTACTCTGCAGGTAAAACACTGAACCAAGCACAGACATTCCCATTCTTTATCTCCGGACAGCTTCAGAACTGGAAGGGAAGGCAAGGGCAAGGAATATCTGCCATCCTTCTTTGTACAAGCTAGCTCACTGACAATTGTTGTTCTGCATCAAAAAACAGGCTAGATGGACGAGGGGTTTAGTAGTCCTCGCCAAAAGCTTATTATATTCTTATTTCACCCTTTCATCTCTGACAGCATCACTTCATCAGCATTTCATCAACATATCACTAACAGTGGAACAAGGTTCATTGGGAATTTGGATAGCTCTTCTGCTTTTGCCTTTTGTATTGTGTTTGTAATGAGCCAATCGATGATAATAAGATACTGTCTTCGGGCCTCTGTCTGAACTTGATTGTTGAAGACTGGCCAGTTTCCTTCTTGATCACGGCAAAGCACAGTCAGCGAGAAAAAAAAAGAAAGCTCTAATTTACCTAACCCTGCAAATACTGCTTGTGGTGTATTACACACACTCAGCCTTCTGAAATTATCTAGCAGCATCATTGTTACAGTTCAAGAAAGATAAGTGCACTCTGATTGCAAGAAACCAAGGAATATTTCAATTTACACACGTGCCTTTCAGAATCCTCAAAGTAATAGCATTGGTGGGATGAAAGACCTCATTCGGGGAGATAATTTTTTCCTGATTCCGGTGTCACTATAATAATATTTATACGGTATAGAATAATCCTGATATGCACTATTGATATTGCTGAGTTTACCACAGTTTCATTATCTTTTTCCACAATACTGCTTGAGTGCTCCCTGGTAAGGCAGAACTATTTAAATATTCATCACACCATAAACCAATTACCGCAGCATTCCTCTGAACACATTTCAAATACCTCACTAATTATTAATATCATCAAAAACACTGGAGCTTCTCAAGTTCAACCAGTTAACAACCTGTTTAGAAAGTAAAAATGTAAACTTCCTTTCACACATCAAGCATATTTTCCCCTACCTCAGTGCAATATTTTGTCTCTTGATACAGTAAATGTGCTTTTTAACTGTAGACCGTTCAAAATAAATTAACCTTTTGTTCTTAATTCAAAATGAATGCTTAAAGGTAATCTCACATGTGAGTTTATAATGTAGAGCAAAACAAGCTCAAACGAAAGAATGTGCTTCAGTCCAGACGTACCGTCAGAAATAATATTCTTTTCGATGAGACCTGAATGTTGCCCAAGAAGGGGATGCCACATAACAGACTCTATTTCCACTTGTATTCGTTAAAAAAATCGAATAAACTCGTCTAAAACTACAACACAAAATACTATCTGCCCATAGTTACTAAAAGCAGGGGTAAAAGCGAGGGTAGAAACCGGTTAATGAAGCTATCGGTCATCCTACCATTCACCGAAGTGCTACGGCACAGCACACACGTTTGGATATTAAATTTATCTGACAACCGTGCACTAACGATATTATTTCCAGATGAGTAAAGCCCAGATAAGCAAGATCTTAACCCCTACAGTAGGTACCTCGGTCATACGCTCGCTCATGCAAAGGCTGTACCTGTAACTGTTCCTCTGAGCGGGTAACAAGCCTGCCCAGCAGATGTACTGTAAGCCCGTTCACCCAGCAGAGATACGGCACGGTATTGCCTTCTCCCATCATCTGCTGGGGTGCGAGCTAGCAGAGAACACCGCCAACGCGGAGCCCGTCGCCTTACCTGGGCTCTGGTGTGGCAGCAGCGTGCCGCCGAGCTTCCTGGACGCTGCGCTGGTGCAGACCCCCCTTCCCTCCAGCAGAGCCTGCAGGGGCTTCGTCTCGCCCGGCTGGGGCTGGCAGGTCAGCCCCGAGCCGCATCTCCCCGTGTACACCCCGCAGGGCTGCCCCTCGCCGAGCGCGCAGGTCAGGCAGCAGCCGCAGCCGGGCTCCCGGACCGTCTCGGGGCACCCCCTGGGCAGGGGCTTGCACTGCCCGATCGCCCCGGCATCACAGGGCTCACAGCGGACCACCGGACCTACCGCCTCCGCCAGCCGGCTGACCAGCGCCAGCGCCGCGGCCAGACAGAGAACACACAGTCTGGACAGCATGGTGACAAGCGGGGCACAAAGTGAGACTGGGCGAGCCGTCACGTACGCTCAAGCAAACTTTCCCTGCCGCAGAGCGAGGGCTAGCCTTCTCCATCTGTATTTTCGGTCGCTCAAACTTCTCAATATATACAGCTGGCGAGAAGAGAGGGGTCTGAAAGTCACACCCCCTCCGTATGAATAATGTGAACGTAAGACTCCGGGGATCTAGGGATCGCTTGCATCTTCCGATGTTTTGTAAAATGTGTGCAAAGTTCATTCGATTTTCAGACCTGGTTCCCACAGGTACGCGTTGTCCATAATACAGTTTCTGTCGTTTGCTTATATTCAAAGTGCCTTGAAAAACTAATACATCGCAAGAGGTGTTTTTTTTCTTTTGTCGTCCTGGGGTTTGTCGCTTCTGTATCTGTAGTACATAACACATGAAACGCGCAACCAGAAGTGTATCTTTATTACTGTACATAAGGCACTCGTCGATTTCAATAGCACAGTGGGCACACTTCTTAGCGTTTTCAGGCTTTGTCGTTCAGGATGTTACAACTCCAGGTGCATTTAATACCAATCACACTCTTCATACGGTTTAAGGTTGTATCCGTCTTTACGGGAAAGGTAGAATTGCAAACTGGTCTGAAATGACACAGTTCAGCAATGCGAATTATGGTTTCATGTCTATAACCGCGGTGTTTCTACGTCGAACCAAGCAGTTAGAAATTAGAAACGATCCCTGCAGCATGTACCAGTTAAACCCACGTTTTAAGATACAAAAGAACTTCGTCTGCTATCTTTGTCATAGAAGTAATGTCACTTTTCCACTTGTGCCTTAATTTAATGAGGTCGAAAGGTTGTAGTGTTTTCCGCTCTCGATTTTGTTGTAACAGGCCTGCTTAACTATGTTAGTATAATTTATAAAACCCTTCTCCTCTTTGTAACTGAAAAAAAAACTTACTGATTTCTTAACCCTGTGAAGCTTTCCTTCAATCCACAACTTTTCTGTTGTGAGATACACTAATTATGTATTTCTTGAATTTCATATTTATTACTTTTTTCTTACTTTTCTGAAAGCAAGTTTGCGTTTTTCCATTTAACAGTACTTCAAATAACTGCTGTTTTTTTGCTGACTTTTTTTTTCTTAAGTTTACAAATTCCATAACACACAGGTAAAACAATCTCTCAATCTCTCCTGCGCACAGGAAAAATAAAAATCCTTTCTAGTCTTGGAGAAAACTAGTTCTGGAGGACATCATAATAATAATAATCCTGGAAGATTTAGGGGAAGAATCCTGACTGATTCTGAAAGTATCCCACATGACCACGACAGGAACAGAGTTTCTCCACTGGAATCCTGAGGGAGTTTTAAATGGTTTGTGCAAGAATTTATAAAGATGTTGTACCATAAATCTTTCAGCCACTGTGGACAGGAATCCTCTGGGATTTTTTTTGGACGGGAGTAGCAACTGACATTTTTCCCATTTCCAGAAAGCAAACACGAACATAACTGCTTTCTTGAAGACAACAAAAAAGGAAGTCTCTGCACTCTGATCACAAGTGTGACTGGTCTACAGCAATGTTGTTTCTGATGTGTTGGGCTGTGGATGTTTTCTAAACTACATGTATCTAATTTTAACAAAATTGAGGCTGTTGTGGAGAGTTTTGTGACTATTTATTTGTACCAATTATAATTATAATTGTGTCTGGACTGCTGTTTCTTTAGCACCGATAGACGCAATGTGTCGTTTCTGTCTTTGTGCTCGTAAATTCCATGCCTAGTTTAGCGTTTTGACTGCTGCAAACCCACATAAAGAACACTTTTCAGTTCCTACTTCAGGAATTGGATTAGAGTTGGTTGCTGAGCTATGGAAGCCAGGGGCAATTGAAATTAACCTTGGTTATATCTGTCCAAGTTTGCTGGGCACCTCATCAGTAGAAGCTGTGGTGTGTCAAATTAATCCCAGTTGTTTTTATTTGTTTTTTGTGTTTTCATGTCAGTGCCAAGATGCCGGTCTCCACCAGTCGCCAACTTAGATGGGCAAGTAAGCACAAGTATAACCTCTGCCAGCAATCGTCTGACACTGAAGTGCTCACCTTACACATAGCAAGGTCTCAGGATACAAGGTGTGCCCTGCTAGGCCCACCATACAGAGAATCAATGATAAGAAAGCACAAAACCCTGCAACCAGACCAACCTCTATCCCAAAACTTACCCTGCTGGGATAATAAACATGACCTGAATTGAAACTGAAAAAATAAAGCAGTCAATATCCACCATTGTGAGATTTCTACCAATATGGCAAAAAAGAGCTGAAACGTCCTAATGAAAAACAAGCAATGTGTAAGAAAATGCCTAGCAATAGCAAGGTAAATCCCAATTGAATTATTTTCCTATGACTTTGTATATTTTTAATCAAAATAAAACCATAATGTTTTGCCTTTATCAGAAAAACACATGTAAGTATATTCTGTTTTTAAAAAAAAACTACTGCAGACTGCACATTTTCTTTCAGAATAAATATGCTTGGCTGTCTAAGAAAGCAGAATTCTTTTCAGTTCTTGGAAGAAAAAGACTCGTCATTTTTTTTTTGGTATTAAAAAATCCTAAATCAACATTCTTATTTTCTATAATGTAAAATGTGCTTTAAATTTTTTACATCATAATTGTTCTTTTAATAATGGTGTTATGAGAACAGTACTGATGTTCTGAAACTCTGAATACCATTTTAAATAAAAATACACTGTGATTCACTGAAGTTAATTTTTGTTCAGTATATTGATAGAAATTGTATATGTTTATGTATGGAGATGTACTGTATGCACATGGCAATACAGTATATACATACTGATATATGTATAGTGTATATCTGTGTTTCTAATTGCATATGAAATAGAAAGTAATTTGACATGTACGACAATTTTCCATATTTGTCCGAGTCTCATACTAACTTAGCTGTTATTAATAGAGAACTTATTTAGAGTATACTCAAATTTCTTTTCACTGGAATGTGGGACTAGTATAATCAGTGAGTGCTTGACCAAGCTGGTTTTCAACAAGATCTTTGAAAAGGAGAAACATTTAGAGCTCTGAAGTGTCTCAACCAGTAAAGATGCTCGCTCAGAGGCATTGACTCAGCCAGATGTCACTGCCTCGAAAGTACAAGACGTGGAACTAGAAGACTGTAGCTGCAATCGTTAGTTCCAGGGGTGAAAGAGAATTAGTTAGTCAGGCATCCGTGGTTTTCTGCAAGTGAACCCTGCTTTGACTTGTGCATTTGACGTTAACTTTCTGGTAGGGATCTGTGGAACGGTGGGGCAAAGCTATCAGCATGTCATACAAACAGCTACAAAAGTGAGTAAGTCATTCAAGATGTAGTCTACTTGGCATTTAGCAGTTAATTGATTCAAAGGTCTCAACCAGCAGGTTCTTGAAAGAAGCCAGGTCTGCGGCTTTAACCCTTTCCCGGACAGCTTGTCCAAATCGCCTGTCGCACCCTTTACGTGAAGACGTGTCTCCTGTTCTTTCGAACAGTCCTCTCACAATCGTCTCAGTTCACAACTGAAAAGGTGCAGTTCCTTCAGCCTGTTAGTGCAGAACATTCCATTAAGACCCAGACGTCAACTGATGAATGGAATTAGACATCTGGGTGACCAAGATAAATATTTGCTGGTCCTCATTCTCCCCATACAGTGAAAGAGACGTACTCATATTTTGCTCCTTAAACAATTCACAATTTCAGATGGGTTGGATGTACAGTATAATAAAAAGACAGTCATGTCAACCTTCAGGGCAGGACCAACCACAGATCATACCAGGAACGTAAAGCTAAATGAGATGTTTCACCTCACTATTCCAACCACCTTTGCCCGTTTCTCCTAACTGCGTCTCATGCTAAAGGGTATCCTGTTTTTGAGCAGTAACATTCTTTATAAAACTTCATTGACTAGGGGTTTGAATTATAAACAGTTATATATTTATAGGAAGCAAAATACTGAAGAATGAATGCTTCAAAAATCAAATATTGCCGCATCAGCCCACATAACATTTGCCTTGTAATCAGTAGTAAATGTTATGCATCTGGATGGCGTTGCTTATTAGTGGTTTTAAGGAACATATACAAACTTGTTCAGTGGTCGAACTTGTTCTTTGGGGTGGGAGTGTGTGTGTGTGGGGGGGTTTCACAAAAGATAGCACTTCACCCAGCAATGTGCTGGAACAGGTGCAGAAATCGGCAGTTAACCACTGCAGCGCTGTTATATCATCAGAAGGCTGAACCTGCAGCCTTCTAAAAGTGAAACTAGTCATTAAGTTTTTCTTCTCAGCTCTGGGGAATGATCTAATTGCTGCTTCTGCTCCAAGCTTTTATTTCAAAGAAAGGGCTTCACACGGGCACGGATAATTGGTCAGGTTAAATGTAGAGGGCAAATTCAAAGCTATCAATGAGTCTACGCAGGTACTGTCGTTTTTTTCTTCCATTATGAATTTCAAGTATACAGGCAAAGCTTCACAAAAAAGAGGTTTAAGCCAGAGTGAGTAAAACTTTATTTTAAGTACTAGAGATTTGGGTAAATAAGAAAATGTTATTATAATAACATTTAGCACTTGGCTGCCTACTGAAGAGGATATTACCCTTTTAATACTCAAGCACAAGAGGTGTTCGTCCTCCATGATGTGTTTCTGCTGGATTTTTCTGACCGGAATTTCAAGTTGTAAGAATTTAAAGGAACAGAAAAATGTATTTTCCATTATTGGTAATACTGATAATATAATGCTTTTGCCGTCAAAGATTACCTGCTTGATGTGCCACATGTATTCAAAAAATGTAGCCCTGGTGCCAGGATGAGATACAATGCTAGGTTCCAAATTGGAAAACACGCCTTTAACAACAACTGAAATGAGACTATGCTGAAAACTTTGTGAAATAACCAAAAAACTCACTGCAAAATATGAAAACAACCCCCCCCCCCCATACCAAGAAAAAAGGTTTCAAATGTAGCTGAAAATATACAGAATTAAAAAAGATAAATGGACAGAATTTGGACAGGCAGCTCCTACAGTATGTCCACCCACGCACATTTATCTGGTGAGTGGCACCAGCCAGTCGAATAGGGACAAAACA